CATATATATGCTTTGACTACAGATATCATAGACAGGCAGGCCCAGCCTGAACATGACATTTTCCCTTGTGAACAAAGAATTTAGAAATAAGGAATACAAATGTGAATATAATCCTGTGATAATGGACCACATGTTTGTTATCCGCTCTGTGACTCGCGCACGCAAAGTGTTACCTGACACATCCACGCTTTATGACGCACTATATAAAAAAAAATCACGTTAAAACTACAAAATCGTTTATTACTCACTACATTCTTGGCACTCCTCACAGCTTTGAGCCTCCCTTGGAGGGACGATGAGTCTACTTCTGGCCGGGAGCTGAACTCGCATTTCTTATGCGTGTGGAATTTCTCCGTGTGTGTATATTTGAAGGACAGCTTGTCACATTTAAAGTGAGTTCCCTTTCAAGATTGTATTATACACAACATTTTATTTACTTTAGAGCTATCTGTACTGGGTAGATAAACTGAGATGCCTATATCTTGTTTAAATGGATGGCCAACCAGCATAAAGATACGGGATATTTTTTTTCTCGAGGAAGATATGTGGAATTTGACCAGGGTTAGACGTATTATTGACCGGTATTGAGATTTTTTGTCAAGGTATCATGGTTAGCACCTTTGATCTTTATCGGACTGTGTTTCAAATAGATTTTTTTTATCTTCACAAAATAGATATAAATTAGGATTCTTCATTTTTATAACGTTATTCCATACATGTTGCTTTTAACTTGAGGCTCATAGAATGCATACACTATGCAAAACTAAATTGGACACTGGCCATGAAATTTCACACTATAATCCATACACTCAGTGTCTGGGTAAACAAAACATGTCTACACACACATGCATATATATTCACACAATTAAATAGGGCGTGTCAATACTGTATGTACTCTACGTGCAGAACGTGTATTAAGGTCCTGGTTTTCCCAGAAACGTCCCTTTGTTGCGGTAGCTGTCCTGGGAAATCTGTAAATCTCTGACTCACTGTGATCATTTTGTCCACGTAATTGTTATCATTATCTTGTTCTCAGTAGGTTAAACGTCCCAGTTTTGTGTCATTTGTATAATAATACAGGCCTAAAAACGGCACATTTGCTGGTATTTCTCCCCTCATCTGGCACTCAAATAGTCTTCTTTATCCAATGATATGTGGCAGTGTTTTAACCTCAGAGGTGGCAACCCTCACATGCATATGTGTTTATAAAGTTTAACATATACGGTAAATAGATATTACCCCCCCCCTGCCCCCCCTTTAGACTTGGTGTTCATTCCATTCAGTGAGAGCCAAGTAAAACACTTGTTTTAGGCAGGGTGAATCTAGAGGTCAATGGCAGGTGCATATATTGTTATTGGTTTTATATATCACAGCATACATGATATATGTCATACATATGTACATGCACAACTGTATGCAGACACACACATACAGGGTGGGCCATAAGTCAGGGCACAAAAGGTGATAATATTTATTTTAACAAATCACATAGGGTTATTTCATTTATTTTAACGAATGTTCAAGCCAATTTCAATTAACGTAAATGCACGCATTAATTTTCTATTTTAATTAATCCTGGACTCTTTTTTAATTATTACAGCTGCCTTCTTGAGCATACGTAAAAACGAATTGAACTCGTTCTTCTTTGGTACATTTTCTTTCCATGTTCAAATGTCATCTGAAAAGGAAGAAGACGAATATATATCGATAACGATAATAGATTAACGTTGATTTGAAGAATAAACAACTTGCAATATTTTAATGTCGGTGCGAAAATCTATTAAATAACCCTGTGTGTCCTGACTTGTGGGCCACCCATATACCGGTATCTACCCAGTGACCTGAGTTTGATTCTCAGCTGCGGGTAACATCAGTGACAAGTGAAACGTAAACCGGTTCTGGGGCCTCCCCCTCTTCGCGAACCCGCACTCAACAGGCGTGTTGAAGTATGCTCAAACAACCCCCACGACTGACACAGTGTGAGGAAGCCTTCGTGGATTCACGAAAGGGTTGTAAATGTATTTCACATAACATATATGTTCAACGTATAACACGGACAGCCCATTTACTCTGAATGTAACACGCGGACGTGTGATCCATTGGGGCACCGCACTGTATCGAAGCAAGAGAGAAACTCCGATGGCAAGAAGAGCATTAACATTTCTGATGCCCCAGGCTAAGTTGTTCAAGCCAAAGCGTTCTTTACAAGGCAGAGTGACACAACTACCGGGCGAGAGAACTCCAAGCTGATTTTCACGACGAGTCGTTGATACCTTGTTGACAGTGTGGGAGATGGGGCATGCCAGGGTTTTCAAAAACGATTGTCTCGGAGGCGTTTGCCATCCCTTTTTTTAGCCTGCGTTTTAATTTTTCATCTGATGATTCAAGTCTAACTGCTTTACTGCCCTGTGAATGACGGGTATGGATGATGTCATAAAAACTTTTATCAGCAAACATGGTGGTTCGTGGTGGTGGTGGTAGTGGTGATGGCGCAAGATATAAATTTGAAATTAAAGTCTGAGGTGGCCAGGTGGCTCACGGGATTCATAATGGGCAAGTCATAGTATGCTGAGAGGAACATTGACATGGGTTCAAATCCAGGTTTCAGACACCCTTGATTAAAGCAGTGGTCTGTGAAAAAAACATTGCTATATTTGACTGAGGCTGACCTTGTGTGGAGGCCTAAGGCAGGTTCAGATTTCAACATAGGTGTGTGCATGGTCAAGAGGTGAATTGGAGTTTCCAGCATCATTGTTGAGTAAACTAATCACTGTTATATTTATACAGTAATATCAAAGACAATAAAAACCCCGTGTAGCCTTGATCATACTGTTGGGGCAAATTCTGTTTGCGAGCACCTATAAAGGCATGCACGGCGCACGAGAGGATGGTGCAGCCAGGAACACGCATGGCCAACTTCATCTCCGCAGTGTAATAGAAGAGTACAACACAATTGTCCTTCCCCCCCCCCCGCACCTCCGATTAGCACGGTTGGCTCCGTATGGTGCGAAAGAAGTTCTACATACACAAGGTCGTGGGTGTTAGGGTAACATGTGGGTACTGCCACCTCTTCCAAGGCGTCTTGTCAGCATAAATACAAAGACCAAAATACCCACTAGAGGCGGGCACTTCTGCCAGCGGTGGCATGGGCAAGACATTGCAGCGTCGCACCTTTTGCCCTTTCATTTGTCTGAAAGCAGCAGCAGCAGCGTTTGTCCAATGGAGACAGTGGCTTGCACTATAAATATGGATTATTATTTTTACCCTGGATAAAGATGCCTAATACAAATGAGCACTGCCCAGTGTTCATTTGAACAGGGAGACAATGCTAATTGTATATTCATTACACAAATAATTTACCATGATATGTGCTATTGATGAAAAGGCTTAGGCTCGCCTATTGAAACGCAAGAATCCTAAACCATTAAGAATTTTCCCAGAAGGGATTTTCCTTAATCATATGAGTCGGTCTGTAACTTGAAAGTTAGGGCGGAACGGAGTGCTCGGGGAAGTAACTTAGAGAATGTTAATGGAGTGGCTTCAAGTGACGATTTAGGCACATGTGCAGCCTCTTACATATGTACGCTGTTGGAATGTATTGATGGTTTTTTTTCTCATGTTGTTGTTTTGATGCGGATGTGTGACTACCCCCCCCCGCCCCTGTATATCATAAGCTCGGAATGTGCGGCTCAATCATAATGAAGCATAGCTTTGTTGCGGCGCTGGTTTACTCATAGTTCCCTGTGTGGGCTTGTGAATGTCCGATTCACATTGGAGTCGCCCCGAGTCTCGTTTTGTCTTCATGCGGTCACATTTTACAGCAAGATTTTTTTTTTAAATGTGTAATGTAGTCTACGAGCTTTGGTTGTGAAGGAAAGTGAAACACGCTCCTGGTGATGCTCATCCATATTGGGGGACCGTGCCGGTGCTGGAATTTCACAATGTTGGCATCGGGCAGTTTGCCCACAGCACAGCCAACTTTGACTTCTCATTAAAGTATTAGAGTGGTCATTTGAAGTGAGAATGGAGGGATGGTAGAAATTATAGGAATGAATGATTCGAACCTTCTGTTTGTGTGTCATATGTTGTAACCACAGATATTAAATTGCATATGTAGTGGTGCATATATGACAAAATAGTCGTTTTTGTTGCGATAGTCTCTGGTTTTATTTAAAAATATATATGCATATGCAACACACACATTGTATAATGCCCTGCAGTGTGCAGGGCATTATACAACACACACAGGAAGCGCACACACAGAATTATCTTGAAATTCTGAGCACAAACTAGCGACAGAGACAGGAAGTCAGAATGAAAAAAATCACAGCAACTATACAATTGTGGGCACTGCATGCGCAAAAAATCACCACCCCAACTACCACGGGAGCAAATTAGCTCCAAAACGAATGGAAGTGGCTGATCTATGAGTCTGGCTTTTGATTGCATACATTCACTGCCTCGAATTGATAACACAAAAGCCTCTGATTGTGGCCCCCCGTCACCCCTTTTAGAAGTGATCTCCACTCGGCAACGACCGCGTTGCCTTAATTCGGATGTCTTTCAATTTGCGGCAAAGGTGTTTGGTAAATAGTGGTCTCTCTTATTTTTCCTCCGCGGAATACCACCATTGCCACGAGCACCACCGCTGACCCTCATCATCGCCCCTCGCGGGTCACAGGAGGGCCCTCTCCTAGAGGTTGTGATGATCGGAGACGGGTGGTGTTCGGTGTTTCGAGCCGGCGGCCCTGATTGATGGTGTGGGTGGCTCTCGGGTCAGACGGGCACGCGCACGAGCGAGCGTGCGAGCGAGATATGGGCTGAACGTTATTAATTTTGCGTCGCTGATGACGTATGCGCGGGTGCTGCTATTGTCCCCACTGTCTGCTGCCCCTAATATGATGTTTCCTCACTCTCTCTTCCCCCTACCCCACTCCACCCCCTGTCTCTCTCTCTCTCTCACTCTCCTCCCAATCTCTTGTTTTATTCCTGCCCTGCAGTTCACCCGACTCACACGCGCACCGCGTGTGAGTCTGCTGCCTGTCGTGGAGAAATCTACACAGCAGCAGCAGCAAGAGAAGCGGCGCCGCAACTGATTTGTGGGAGTGCAGTGCTCGTCGCTTTATGTTTTACATTTATTTATTCAAGAACAAGTGGTAGCTGAGAAGATGGCTTCCCATCGGAGGACGACTCTGTTTGAAGTAATGGTAGCACAGCTGCTTATGTGGCAGCTGTCAGCTCTCAATATTCCCCTTGACTGTAAGTACCCTCCCATAACATCGGTTTGATTAGTGGTCTGTGAAAGTGGCTGCCAAGGAGATTTCTGCCTTTGATTTTCTGTTTCACTTTCACGCTGGTGGTCCACCTTCACTTCTGTCTCCAGTCTTATGCTCACTTACCTGGCAGGGCAATATGTTTAATGATCTATTGAACACCATGTAGTATTTACAAATATGAATTACAATAACACAACTAAACTTAACTGTGTTTGTCCAGGAAAGCCTAAATTTGTGATGTTTAGGAGAATATCACTGAGTCAACAAGACTTTTTTTTCAGGACGATCCTGGCCAAATTTCTTCATGAGTGTTGGGCATTTGGGAGGAAACTGATAATTCAGAGAAAACCCATTGCATATGAGGGATAATAACTCAAATATCTGAACATATGGATCCAGTTCACTTGCTGAACTGTGATTTCCTTACCAACTCCACAGGCCAGTAGGTCTGTCTGGGAGTTCCAAATTATCTGTGGGATGCCAACCCTCGTCTCCAAAGTACTGAATAATAAGCGTGTGCTCCTGGCTATTTCTTTTTTTTATGTTCCCATTATAACACATGAAGAACACTGACAGAGTAATCTCAGTCTTGCAGTTGTATCAAATTGAATGCAAGGAATTATTTGAACCATTGGCTACCTGGATAAAAGTCAACTTTTATTGAAAACATCAGAAGACCCTTTAAAATAATTAAAATCTCATCAGGTGCCATGGTGTAAAGTGCAGTCTCAAACTTTTGTTATCCATTTCATCTCTCTGGCTTCTTCATGTGTGTGCTATAAAAAAGGGACATTGACTGAAACGTCGACTATTATGTTTCCTTTTAAGGCCACAGTGTTATTAACGAATGTGTTAAGTATTTTTTGTCTTATCTGTGCTTGTGCACCAACTGCCTACGCAGCATCAACAAATCATTTGGATAAAAAAAATAGACACTTATGTTCTTAAAATGTCGGGTAATTTAGCGGAATTATTACAGTGTTAATATGACCCTTTTCTCTTCTCTCTGCTTGGACGTTAATGTATGAAGCCTACATTTAATTAAATGCATTATTCACAAGTGTGTTTTATTCATGTGACATGCACAATGTTCTCTCTATCCCTTTCTCTCTCGCACTAATCATATTTCTCTCCTCTTTTTACGAAACATTCCTTCCGGGATAAGACAAATTGCTTGAAGAGTGTAAGTTTGTTGTTTGGTGTTGTGCTGTGTGAACCATCCATGCCTCCTTGAACAACTTTAGAATCAGTTTGGCACGATAAAAATGTAATATATACACTTTTAACATAATCCAAATGCATTTGCACTGTTTTTAATTTGTTGTAAATATTGTTACATATGATTTAAACGTGCTTTTGCTTCCAAAACAATTGAGTTGTTCATGGATTTATCCACTCATAAAGCTTTGATCAATATCCACGCAATGGTTCTGCATGTCGTTTAGTAACTGTTAATATTTGTAGTTTTTCAAACGTCAGTTTAAAAAAGAGGGTAGTCCATTAAACTAACGGAATCATATAATTAAATGTACGTCCTCAATATATTATCAATTCTGAATGTTATTCAATACTTTAACTTTGGGCATTGCCGCCTGAGACTCCGTGAAGGTTATACACATGTGTTAATTAACAGATACTATAGTGATGTCTATCATCCAGGAACGGTCTCAATTATTAATCAGGCTCTTTTCAAGAGGGTTCTGCTTTGAGTTATTTAGACAATGTCATTTCCTGATTGTTCCAGGAATTTACGTACAACTGTACACAGCAATAACGTTCAAGCATTCAAACTCCTCACCTCTCAGCCATTGAGCATATAAATTAATTATTGCTTTTTAAGAGTGCTTTTATGAAGTGTTCTTTGACCCAATTAATATTGTCTCAGATGCAAAGATGAGTGTTTTCCACCAAAATCTTCACGTGAACAATTGACATTCAACCCATTTCCATAAGAAAGCTGCATGCCACAGTAAGTCCTGAATCGATAGCCCGCTCGAATATTGTTCATAAACAGCTTGTAGTCTGCCACGTCACAAATCAGCGAGCACTCTACGACGATTGTGATGGTGGCGGCGGCGGCGGTGGTAAAGACAACGATGAGGATCGTATGAAGACTTAAAATTCCGGGGCCTTGTCTTAAACCGATAAGCACCAGCGATTTTTGCTGTTTTTTTATTTCTCACCTCTGAGAGACCCTCCTGCTCCCGTTCATGATCTTTGTCTCGAGCCGTTGAGCTGCTTAATGGAGTTGAAATCCGTGCCTAATTCGAGGCGGGCATTTGACAGGACGCTCGGCCGAGATGATGGAGAGGCGTGCAGGGGGGGGGGGGGCATTGTCTCAGTTCATGCCGTGCAGTCTTTACCCCGATTCATAATCCACCCAGGCATTAGTTTGTTTTTTTCTCGTAATAAAATACCTTAATATAAAATGTGCACATGACGCAATCCATTTGCCGGCTTAAATAGATTACGCGTTGTGCAGGAAGAAATCTGCACCGTGATTGAGTTTTTGCCCCTTGGCTTTATTTCGTTCATTTATTCCGTGTATATTTTTGACGGTTAAAAAATGAAAATTTACCGCACGCTCGGCGAGCCCAATTTCTATGGTAGGCGAATTTGTCGTGATAATCAATCACATGCAATGCCAGGCAAACATCCTTTTTTTCGCACGCACTCTCTTGCACAGCATTGCTCGCACTAAATTTTGTTGACACGTATACATTTAAAACACCTTTGAAACAAACACACGGCCAATGAAGTGATTCTTTGAAATTGAACCCGAGGAAATATGTCAAGCAAAATAATTATTTTCAATAAGAAAGTTATATTTTTGTTTCAGTTTCCGAACACTGTTTCAGTCAACTAATAACTAAGCTTATTTAAATACGTTCATGATTACACGAAAACAATGATCAACGTACAGAAATATATAGATAAATGTTATGTAACGATGAAATAACCCAATATGTTACGCATCTCTTTTGCAAGCCATAACTAATATATTTTACATCAACACAAATCTGCATCAACTTAATAATAATAATAACATGCTAAGCAGTAGGTAAATTAATATAAATATATTGCTAAATTATACTGCGTGAAAACACGTGCAAATCCTTACCAATGCCGCAGCATCGTAGCTTCCGGAAATCATCAGAAATAATAAGATTGCACTTTATTCCTGTAACAGTCTTTCATTTCCAAACATACTTTATTATAACAGAAGCTACGCTACAACGTATATGATTAACGCCATATCGCTGTTGAGCACTTGTTCACAATAATGCATCATGTCCCCCCGTCATAGTCACGGGATCCCACTTGTGCCGTTGCATTGCTGTGTCGTGTTTTGTGAGCATGAACCGTTAGTCACGTTCATATATACAGCACGCGGAACATCTGTATATATCATAAGTATGAGTCTATCTTCAGTGGGGTTGATAACATGAGTAGCAAGGAAAGGTTTTTACAATTAAAACCACTTTTATGCAAACTAATCTCAAAGCTTTGTAAGAAAGAAGGGTCATTGACTCGACAGGCCACATCACAGGTCGTTGGTTATGAGTGTAGCAAACAAGGGAGGGAATGGAGTAGCGGGAAATGCACGGGGCGAGGGAATTCGACAACCCCCAGAAGGAGCCCACAGGGGTTCAATATGCACCAAAGACAAACATCGTTGCCAAGAACAAAATAATTACTATGCAGACACATTGTAAACTATCTTGATGTCAGTACATGCGAACATTAGGTTGATGCTATTTTCAGAATCTTATAAAGCCTCACCTTTAAAGAATAGCACATTTAAACGATAATATAATATGTCAATGGGGATTGAAGTCAATATCAGTGTCCCCCTAGTAGTTTAAAACAAAGGGGTAGTGGCTCATCTCCATCAGGAGTCCTGGATCAGTGGTGGAAATTCCATATTTTCCTATGGCCAATATAAGTATGTCCATACAACAAGCACAGTTGACTTCCAAAAAAGTTTAACTCAATTTATCAACCCCACACGAATTATGGACTGACAATATGTAACAATATGTGTGAAACTCAATGTGTGTGAAACTCAATGTGTGTGTTGCATATACAGTACAGGACTCCATACTCAAACGGTCGTACTTAGTAAGATTTGTTTTTCTTTGATGATAAAACGTGACATTATTTTCCTGCTTGCATGCTTAAAATGAACATATTTTGCAGGTAAATATCTTCAAAAAAATAAATCCTGTTGTTATTATTATTACTGAATGTAGCTGAATGTGAGTGCAGATTGGAAATAGAGGCATGCTTTCCTGCACACATAATACGTTCGTGCATGTACGCATTATTTGTATATTAGACATTAGTAGAAAAAAAACTACCTTTGAGGAAATTTTACATTTCAAAAAGGGGATCTTGGTGAGTGTTAGACTCAGCAAATTGTAAGCCATTGAAAATAGAATTTACAGTCAGATTGTCAACTTACCGTATTAAAAAAATAAAGAATTATAAGTGAGAACTAGACAGATGTTAACATTACTCACTCACGACTCAAAAATAATTACATTTATAATCCAGTCAAGACGAAAGCTGTTCATTAAATATAGATACAAATAAAGGGGAGTGATTTTATGGCCTTCAAATGTAAATCATTGCAACGTTGAGCATAAAAAATGCTTCTAAGATTTGTTGATGCTTGATCAGAAAATCCCAACAAATATACTGATATACAGCACTTGTGCATGCGTTGTATGAGGACACACACAAGATGCATGAAATTTGATTGATGACACCCATCACTCATCCAATTTGTTAAAAGTCCCCATCTCATTGTTGACATCACCTCCGTGCCATGCGCCATGGGCTGGCTTGGGCTGTGTGGGGCCGTAGGGAAGCCTGCAGGCTCATTACTCCGCACCCATTAACGGTGTCCAATTCCCAATGGTGAAAACCGGCCCTGAGGCTCCCCTGGCATCAATCTCGCGCCTCTGCCAAGGTGACAACACGCGCTCACCCGCGTCTCTCCGCACGCCACCGTCCGCACGCCTCCCTTAGCTCCCTGCAGCTACTGCGCCGAGTCACGGCAGAGGAGTGTGTTAAGTGGCTTTGTCTAATCATCACCCAACGTGGGGCCGATAGAACGAGATGTGTGACGCTGTGGTCAGGGGCGTGCATCAGGAGTGGATAGGGCCAGTGCAATAAGAACTTCATAGGAAGTCAACAGTGGCTGTCCCACCATGGACAGACATACAAACGTGGAATTTCCACTGCTAACCGAGGGCTTGTTTGAGCAGGGGGACAGAGTCCGTGTACAGGTTGCCTACAACGCGCGTAGTATTTGTATTCGTGTACACGTGTGTGCGCTCATTGTTTAAGCGGCGCTGCTGCTGCTGCTGCTCAAATAACAGCGTTACCTTTGTTGCCACCTGCAGTCAAACAACCTCCAACCATCACGGCTCAGTCACCAAAGAACTACATTGTGGACCCCCGAGACAACATTGAGATTCAGTGTGAAGCTAAGGGCAATCCACCACCAAGGTAACACGCACGCGCACAATGACAATGAATCCCCCGTATAGCTTCAAAAAGACTGTTGGGGCAAGTGATTTTATCGAGCGCCTATGAAGGCCGGCACGGCACACTCGGAGGTGGGTGGCCGGCACCACGCCTGGCCGCCTTTGTCTTCCTCGTGGCGATGTTTACACACCGCACCCGGTACTCATTTGCCGCTGAGTCGACTTAGGGGTGGCCCAGGACCAGTTCAGATGATTTTCACTGGTGATGATCTTCACTGGTGTTGGCAGTGAGCAGGAAACGAACTCGGGTTGCTGGGTTCATTCCCACACACGCACGCACACACACACATAAGCACACAAAGACATACTGACACAAACCCAGAGCCAAGGTGCAATGTCGAGAGTGTCAGAGCAAGTGCTGTTAGCATAACTCTCTTAGGGTTATCGTGGTGGCTGAGCATAATACAGGAGGTTGTGAGAAGAAGACCAAGAAGCATTGCATTAGCAGGGTGGGTTTTTTGATGGATTTCATAAAACGCTTTTTAAATGTCGAGATGTCAACCGTAGCATTTGAAAGATTGTTGTTTGAGGCAGGAGTAATGTCTGTTAATGCACGGGTCAGAAAGGTGGCCTCTTACAAAGCAACTACTAAATAAGCTTTTGGCTATGAATGGTGGTACATGTGCAAACTGTGAGAAAGTTAATGGAGGAAGGATAGGGCAAGCAATTTGGAAGGTTGGAATAGAAAACGGCAATGTGTACTGAGGAACGGGAGGTTGCAATGGGTGGGGCATTGTGTGCAGTTAGGGCAGGATACTGAAGCAGGCTTTGGATGCTCAGGGGTCGGCAAGCAACCTTTGTGGTAGAGTATCAACTTTACAACAAATATGGGATCTTGCTGATGAAAGGACGTGATGGCGAGATGTGGGGGAATCAACAGCATTGACTATGATGACCTCTTGACCCTTGGTGGCATGTAAAGAGGAGATGTGGCCAGCACCATTGTTTGCTTGACAGTCTTTGTCTTCCCATTTCTCAGGTTCATGACCACTCTGCACGAGTTACTCAGTTCAGGCTGAGTTGACCTGGAGAATACTCGATTTTTGGATTTGGTTGCCGATTGACTTTTATGAATTACATTAAAAAATAAACCTGTCTCCTGGCTAAAATGAGTAAATGGATAGAATATCCAGTGGCGGAGATTCCACATTTACAATTCAGACATTCGTGGCTTGATAGGAAACCGTTGATTAGCTACCAAAAATTGGCAAATATTGTATCAACCCCAAAAGGATGATGGGCTAAGTAGACCACCAACTGAGATTTAAATTCAACCGTCTCAACTGTTTCTATTCTATTCTTGCGTATGATGCCGTTGATGGTTCCACCACCGGTATCTTAGAGGAATGTCAAAGCCAAGCGGTGTCATTTTTGGGTCTCAGATGAGGTGTTCATTCTGGTCGTCCACGTTCTGGATATGGGTGAGATTAGGATAAGACAAGTCCGACCTAGAGCTACTGTGCTTGCAAGTTAATAGTTTATAATCATATGATAACGACTTTTTTTATCTTGGAAAGTGCCTCTGAGTCATCGAGTAAGAATGTTTAAGCTTCTAAGGACAACCTGTGCCTTGACGGGATTTCACTTGCATTGCCTTGTTCTCATAAATCTAATAACTTTCCAAAATCGGAAGCATTTAAAACACCTCAATGGCACATAAACCACGATTCATTTCCGTTTGCACAATGTTTCACGTTAAAAATGAAACATTTAGGGATTTGTACGTATAACGTGAACGACGCAAAAATGTTGTCTTAATAAAATAAAATTAAGCAAGCTTAAAAATGAAAGGCCTCTCAAACAATCTTCGTTCGCAGAACGTCAAGGAAAATGGTGGTAGTGTCACATATCCTAAAAAAATAAAATCGCGTAAAATAATGGCAGCACAGTGTTGCGACTATCAAAGCAGGGACATGTAAGGGAGCACAGTCGATGACAGTCTCTCTTGAAATGCAGTGGATGGAGAAAATCACTCAACCGTGTTCTTGCGAGGTTCCATTTCGATCTGGCAACAGTCTTGCAACAAAACATAGGATCCATCGAGAGTGTTTGGATTTACATTAAAAAATAAATAAAAATCCTCAAGGAAACATTTTTTCAACCCAGTTCAGTTCATTGCTCTTTATTTTATTGCATGAAAGTCCACTGGCACAGAAAGTCTCGTTTAGAGCTGGGATATCCAAATATTAAAGTAATCAATTATTAATATCAGTTTGATTACTCAACCAATCAGATAGCACGAAAATATTTGAAAAACAGTCACCTCGGTTGTCAAATGTGCTGCTGGACGGGAGGTCACGAGCTAACCTTGGTGATGTAATCCGCATTATCAGCCGCGTCACGCTGGGCGTGGCTCGTCCGGGGGTTCCCACCTTCATGCGGCACGGCGTGGAGGAGGCTGCCGTCTTTAAATGGGCCCGAGTAATCAAACACATTTTTCGATTTAAAGTATTCGTGACTGCAGGGATTCGTCTTCGGGGTTCTTTCGATAAATGATATATTATTTTATTAAGTTTAATTTTTATTATTTTATTATTTCCATTCTACGTGACTTTACCGAAAGAACCAAGAAGATAATCAAACACACGCAAAAAAAGCATTAATTTTAAAAATAAATTTATCGACTTAACCGATAAATCGTCCCAGCTTTAGTCTCCTTTGCAACAGTGACCTTGATTTATGCAACTGACGGACAGAATACAAAAACACGCGTCCAAAAATTCCACTCCACAGCCACGTACGAGGGAGGAAGCATCCACCAGTATCTCTTCACATCGCAGCCACCCACATAAATCAAGGTGTTGTTGCTTAAGAGGGACCCGTGGTAAAACAATACCACCGATATGCGATGTCACATATCCACGCGGAAATCTTATGCTGCCCACAGCTCTTTTAAAGTGACACACGCCTGCTCATCAATTGCGGTCGCGTTTGGTGATGGGTGTGTGTGTCGGGGGGGGGGTGGCGTTTGTCCCACTGGGAACGTGGCGTCTAAAAAGCTTTTGGTGCCGAGCGAGCGGAGAGCCCAATGTAATCACACTCGCGTAATGCGCCGCTGTAAAAGCATTGTCCCATCAGCCCGCTTACATCAGCACTGTCATTAATGCCTGCCACCGTGTCGATGCGATTGCCAACCGCACTCCTCTCCTGCCAGAGTAAAGGCCACTGTGCGTATTAAGTTTTTTTTTTGCACGTCTATTGGATTATATGAAACGCAATAGCCTTGACACGTTATTTAATTACCGTATCACGCTTAATCTATACTGCCCATCTGCTACTGGCCAGATTTTATTTCGTCTGAGAGGTGTAATAAGGCTGAGAGTCTCGGCAGATTTTAAGCTGCTGTGTTTTTTGGTGGTGTCATTGTGAGCCCAGTAATTTTTTCTCCCACGAGTGGGCTTTTCCGACTTTTTGAGATATGTTATTGTGAAATCTTCCATAAACCCAGCAGCATCGTTATTATTTTCCTCATCAACATCATTTTGAGCAGCTGCAGTAGCAGCAATCATCATTATAAAGACCGTCAAGCATTGCTTTGCAACACTTTTACCCATACATTTTTCACTGTCTGTCGAGCCCGCAGAAAGAAACCAGAAAGTGGCAATGTATGTAATGGTGTTCTTCTAATTGTAGCTGCCAACACTAGCACACACTCGAATAATGCTTTTGAATAATGCCACCGTTTAGCCAAAGTTACCCCTTTATATTTAAAATGCCAATTAATGCATGGCAATGAGTTCTCACCTGCTAAAATAATCTCACCCACTCACCGATGTATTATTAGCACCGCAAATGGATAGAATTGTTTCGATAAAATATCACGCAATTTCAGAAAAGCCCATCTGCTTTACGTCACTCGCAATCATTCTGAGGGTGACGTTAGTTGCCCTGGATTTGTTGGCCGCACTTAGCAGAAGACAACCAAGAGAAAGGCTCACGATGTGGTGAAGATCATTACCAGCAGTGGACGGAGCTCTATTAGAGGATGAAAATCAGCAGCTCACTCTATACGGCTTGTCACGGTATCACAATGCCACCAATAACTGCTCTGCTCAGCTTTTTGCCTTCCGCATTTCAGACACCAGACTAAATTTAACAGTAAACAACTGTTGTGCATTGTTTAAAAAAATATGTTTAACATTTTGTTTATCAAACAAAAATATTTTGAGTGTGCCTGGGAAAAATAAGTTGTATTTTTAATGCGTAATAATTATTTTTATTGCTGAGGGAAATAAAATTGCCATTATTAGAATGTGAAATCATCTTCTTTGGTTAAACACTATCCACATGGAAGGCGCTACGATTAAAACGTTTGACTTTAAATTGTATTGTTGTGAGTTCAAATCCCAGCCAGGGGTTAACTCAGCCCATTTTTATTGCTGCTTTGTGTCCAGTATAAATTGGTACATAAATTGCCCCCCACAATGATAATGTGGAGTTTATATCACTATCTCAGGGAAGGCCAAAAATAACCACACAAAAATACATTACATCTATGTTCTCATTGAATTTGATTCATTTAAGTTCTTATGTATAAACAATGTTTGTACATTTGCATGCGGTGAACATTTTTGCAGAGCATCTATACGGCATGCCCCAAATTTGGATGAAGCGGTCTGCAAAGGCAAATTAGAAATAGGGATTCGCGTCATCGAATTAAACTTCCATTCAGAATTCTTGCAGGCCAGTGTATATGTCTTGTGTGTGTGTTAGGGAATGGCCCATGGAAGATAATTTAATAGAACTACTTCTAAGATCTCTTCAAGTGATCTGCTTATCCATGGGGGTGCACTGTGCCACATGCCTTGCTGCAGAGAAATAGTCATTTGTGGAAATTAAACCGATATTATTATTATTTTACTTCTTACAGCTGCTATGTAGGCAAAGTAATGCAGAAAAATAATGTGTGTGTGCTTATGTATTCGTGATCATGCTGAGACCATTAGCTCACTACAATGAAACCCCCAGCTTATCGCAAGCAGCTGGATGCCTGCATTTGAAGCACTGGATCTCAGCGGTGCCAGTTCAGCACCCTGACCGAATCTACCCGGCTACTTCAGATTGTATTGTTTATTCCCGGACACTGGAATAATCCAAACAAACGCCTGAGTGTGTGTGTGTGCATTGTTGCCGGGTGGCTAAAGCACAGCAAGTTGGCACAGTAGGGGTCACAGGTGGAGCATCAGCCAGTCATCTCGGTCATCTCAGTCAGTCGACCCGTGGCACCTGGGTCTGCCCCGTGACCTGTGTTCGACACTTCACGTGGCCTCAAGGTGCACATGGCCTGGCACAAAGTGTCGTGGTGACGTCACCGCCACTTAGTGGCGAATGGCGGTTGTTGTTGTTGTTGACTCTGCTGAGACCATCAACTCAGTACACTCCAGCACCTAGTTTCATCACTGACAGGTTAGAAAGCCAGAACCATACTCGGGGCTTCAGCACTGCTGAGCTCAGTGCTCTGCTCAGTGCTCTGCTCCCCGAGACCTTTCTTCACGATGTGCATTCGACGATGTCTCCCCGCAGCTTCCACTGGACGAAGGACGGCGTCGATTTCCACCCGGAGGCCGACGAACGCGTGCAGATGCGCGCCGACTCGGGGACGCTCGTCGTGGACGTGGTTGGGGGCGGCCGGGCCGAGCGCTACGAGGGGGAGTACCAGTGCCGAGCGAGCAACAGCGGCGGCACGGCGCTGTCCGACCGCATCACCGTGCAGCTCTCGAGTACGGGGGCAGCGCACGCGCACACGCGCACGCACACACACGCACGCACACACGCGCACGTGCACACACACGCGCACACACGCACGTGCACACACACGCGCGCACGCACACGCGCGCACACACGCACGTGCACACACGCACGCGCACACACAAAGATCCCCCGTATAGCCTTAACAGACTGTAGGGGCAAGTGCTGTTAGCGAGCACCTATATACACGAGGGGGTGGGTGGCCAGCACCACGCCCGACCGCCTTTGTCTCCCCAGTGGCGATGTTTACACACCGCACCAGGTACTCATTTAAGGCTGAGTCGACCTAGGGGAGGCCCAGGACCGGTTCAGATAATCGTCACTGGTGTTGGCCGTGAGCGGGAATCGAACCCGGGTCGCCAGGTTTATAGCGCAGCGCGCTAACCGCTGCACTACCAACTCCCCACTACGCACGCGCGCACACACACGCACGTGCACACACGCGCACGTGTACACACGTGGACACACACGCACGCACAGCAGCAGTAGCTACAGCCTCCGCGACATTTCGCTTACTCACACCAGCGGCACTGCTGCTACAAAGTGACTAATACTCGTAGCCTATAAGAGTGGTAATTCATGAGGATTGAGTCGTGCAAGCGGAATTATGCTGAAGAGACGCTGTTTGTTCGAAACGGCTTCACGGTTTTGCTTGTCTTGAAACAACGCCGCTGAAATTATGCACTCTCAGAAGAGTGTGCGGCTGATGAGTTGTGTAAACAAAGATACATAAAAAATATATATACCATATAAATATACATTATACACATGTAATATATATTGTATGAAAATATATATATATTTTACAATGAGAGATGGATATGTGAAGAAGACCTGTTGTCTGATTATTATTATTTTTTACAATAATAGCTCTCGTGCTATTAAACTACTCACAATAGCAGTCGCGGCTACTTCTATGTACGCAAACACGTTCGTCAGCGCTGCCTTAAAACGACCAAGTCGACACCTGGTCACATTTTATGGAACGGAGCACAGAAAGGCCCCGCTCTGGCTAATATACAAACAAGACCGTAAACGCATCTGTTGGTTAACGATCGTAACATTCTTGATTGGATCCTTATTTCTCGAGCCAAAAGACAAGTGGTAATTTATCACGAAGCAGCGTTATGGTCCCTTAACTGAAAATGTCAACTTAATTGTACACCCATGAGAATCACTTTATCAGCTAAACATGGCCAGACTAAACATGAATAAGTGGTTGCCTAAATAGTTTTTTATGCTGGAAAGCATTTAAAAAAATGACCAAACCATGATATATGTAATGATAAAAACACATTAACCAAAGTATGGCATTTTGCATGACAATTTATAGTTAAATGCATTTATATTTGCCATGGAAACCTTACACGTGCACATTTTTTATTCATGGATTAACCAAGTGCATACATATCTCATCTATATTGTTATGAACTCACCAGCAATATATGTTGAAATAGAGTAAAATACAGATTCCCAGTAAGTGATAAAAACATAACACTGGCAAAAAAAAAAACGCACCGGGGCATATTGTTTCTAACCATGCGGGCACTTATCCATAACATAAATCCTTGCGAGATTGCAATAGCAGAAGTTTGTGTTTCATGGTGGTAGATGACACACTGGTGTCCATAAAGAGGCACTTACTGAGTACGGTAATCGGAGATACCAATGTGGCTCAATTGGTTAGCACATGACTGACCCAGAACATTTATGTTTGCGATAGTAATTATCATAATTATTTGCAGCCCTTTGTCCACTGCTGGATGAAGGCCTCCCCACATCTCTTGGTTCTGGGAGTTGTTTGACCATGCATTGCCATGCTGGTCAGTGTCGTTGTTGGAGGTTTGGCGTTCAGAGGGCTTCTCAGCAACGGTTCAGATATCATCCACCGCTGTTGGCGGTCGATATTATCCAAGGCTGGAATTCAAACTCAGGTTTAGTGGGCCAGACCATTACAATTAGAATGTATATCGCGTCTACATGTTACCAAGATACTACATAGGGACAGTTGGCATATTTATATTGCAGAGGGAAAAGGGGAAGTCAGTCGGTGATAGGCAGAGGTAAAGAGTAAGATATTGAGTATCGGCTTGAACAGGCACAGAGTCAACAAGCACGGAAAGCTGGGGAAAGGGACTTCTAGACGATGGGGACAGGCAGTGTGCAAACACTAATTTAATTAACTTTCCCAGGAATGAATGAGTGAGTCGGGAGGGTTCCGTATTGGGATGTTTGGCCAAATATATGTTAAGGATCGTTTTTCTTTGTGTGCAATGAAATGAGTACCCAGAGAAAACCCACGCATACACAATTATAATATTCTAAAGTGGGTTTAAAAAAAAAACTCACTTGTCGGACTGTCATCTCTTTGCCACCTGACAGTCAAGCACCTTGGAGAGTTTCACGCATTTATATGATCCACCAGCACCAACATCCACAGCACTGCATCACAGGCACGCACTAGCACACCCAGCTCTACACACACTCCCTGCTCTCCATATCAAAATAAATAATACTCTTCATTCTGCTTATCAAAAAGTACAGCATTTATTTACTTCTCAATTACGTATGTATGATCTCTTTGTCTTCCCGGTGTCAACGTTGTCCAAGAATGGTCCAATGTCATTCTTCATATTTCCACGTAAAACTATAAACTAAACATAGTTTTTTTTTATCAGGTAAGGCCACTGAGCTATATAGCTCTTTTTTCAGAACCGACCTGGCCACAAATGATATCTCAATGAAGTGGCTTTTCATCACGTGGAAATGTATAGATGCCAAATACTCCAAACGCATGTTTCTAAATGTGGAGGGGAAAACCCGGACGAACTAGAGAAAAATCTACACGACCACGAGGAAAACACGCAAAGTCCTTATATACAGGCGTCATGGTCGGGATCGAACCTGCGACCTCCTGTATACCAAGCGAGGTAGTTAACATCTTGCCACCGTGGCGCCCTAACTGGTTGGCGCCATGGTTTGAACGCATGGCTCACAAATGTAAGGTTGCGAGTTCAAAGGTTGCGAGTTCAACCCAGTCGGGAGATGACTCAGCCTTGTATATGACTAATGTAAGTACCACTTAGTGGAAAGTTAGCAGTGAGTATTCTCTGAATATATTGCTCCACCATGATATCGTGAAATTGCCACAATTGGCTCAGGGCCACCAATGGAAAGGAGCACTGTCCAAATGCTGGTTTGAGCAGGGAGATCAAATAACTTGGCTGGATATGATTTCAAAAGTATTGGAATGTTCACAAGAGCCAGTCAGCTGTAATGGGATTGAACCGAGTTGCTTTGGTCTTGCTCGACAAAAGGCTTACAACTTGGCAATCATTGTCTAGAGATGCCATGTTATCTGGTGGCATCATCTCTGCGTTGTGGATAAATCTTAAGACCCATACGTTGGTGCTCAAATAGGTGGATTCTAATTACAGACTAAACTGTGTCCCTGCTCAAACACACATTTATACAGAGAGGGCCTCTGCATTTTCATTGTTTAACCAATGCTGACTTGCAACAAAGTGGTGTACATTTTATTGTCCCTGTTGAAATGATTGGCCGAGTTGACCTCTGATTGGCATTGGTGCTCGCAGCCTTCCGATTGTGAGTTCAGCTCTCTCCAAACACTACCACCTGCCTGGATTAGTCATTGTTGTAATTCATTCAAACGAGCATTATTTTTTTTCATTTTATTTTTCACCACGGAACTAAGGCCTGCATTGTTTATGTGCGCATATGATTTCGTCTTGATTTTCACTTCATGCGTCTCTGCTTATGTTTTTCCTTTCTCTTTGTTCTTTTTGTCTTTATATTTTGCATTCTTCTCACGTAAGGCATCAACTTGCTTCTGCAACGTTTAAGAGAAGGTACCTGTAAAACCAAGCTGCTGTGGAAATCACTGCCCTCTGGTGTTCCAATTCCGACTTGACTTGTTTTTTTCACTGGCGTCGCTCCTTATTCCACCCCTTTGCTTTTGCCACACGGTGTGCGTTAATGCATTGTGCCAATTACGGCAGCCCCCCCCCACCCCCCGCTTTGTCGTGTAGCGCCAGCTGTCAACGTGGCCTCGCCTTTACGAAGGGGGCGCTGACCCCTACGGCGTGATAGCATCACCACCGGAGTGGCCAACGAGCCAACACCTGCCCTGTGATTTTTCTCAGCGGTCCCATTGTTCGAACGGGTGCAACGAGAGACGCGCGTTGTGCAATGCCTTTCGCGCCGGTAGGATAGGCTTCATGGGAAGGGTGCAAATGTTCACAGCTGAACCAAGGGAAGCTGTTGGCGATTGCAATCCAGCTTACGGCAGTGCTTGGCCAAATCACAGCCCTTTTGGGTCCCCAAACGTATTTTGCCCAAATGTTCAAACGTTTCCTTTTGAAACTTTCCTCTCTCAGCTCGCAGCAATTGAAGATGAATTTTAGTCAGGTTGTGCCGCCGACTGAATTAAAAATACGGATTAATGCCAAGCTATGCGATCTCTTTGAATCACGTTATGGTGTCATGAAGATATAAAAATAGCAAACATTCATTGGGTTTGTATAAAAAGGAGAGGGCTTTTAATTTCGAAAAACTACTAGAAGGACTGCTAAGGCGGTTGTCTTGTTCACTTGCAGAACAAATGAAGGGCACAATAAACCCTTCATGAAAGGTGCTAACTTTGTAGTCAAATTAATGATCGTTGTCTCTTTGTGAATGTAGTTTTTTTGTTTGAAGCCTATTAAACGTGGTTTAAAATCACAGTCAAAGCAACTCACTGCTCAACAAATCAAGGGGCAGTGGTTATTTACGTTTGTGCCCCTGAGCCAGGTGTGGAAATTCCACACTCCTATGGTGGGGCCCAGTATTTCCATATTAAAAGCACTGGTCACGTCCCAAATAGTGCTACTCAATTAGCTAATTCAATCGTGATGCTGATGACGGGCTATGTTGACCTCCAAACTGGGATTTTAACTTTCAATGACGAGCAAGTGTTTTACTGCAGTTCCTTAATCATAAGAGAAGCACTTAAATCGTAATTATGAAGTTACATGAGTTCAACTGTCAGTTGGAGGTGGTCAACCCAGGTCATCGTCCCTCCGCGGTTGGTAAACGAGTACTAAATTGTGGATGGTCAACAGTGATAATGCCACAAGTAGACTGTCCACCACCATGGGAATGTGGAATGTGCCACGCTGGCTAAATTTCCTGACAGAAGACACCTGAACAATGCTCATATGAGCACGGGCATACTCTCACTGAATGCATACATGCGATCAAAAAATTACCCAGCCCTTATTAAAACAAAAAAGACCGCAGCAACCGTATCTTCACGGAATGCCAGTCGCTCATTCATGTGCTCTTGTGTTAACCCAGGGTCTCCGCTGTGGCCAAAGGAGGTGATCGACCCGGTGCAGGTCAAGGAGGGCTCGTCAGCTGTGCTGCCCTGCAACCCCCCACCTGGAATCCCACCGCCCGTCATCTTCTGGATGGACCACGGTGAGCCCGACGCTGACGCTCTCGACGTGGCCCTCAGAGACCCCTCCCCCTTTCGATGTAGCCCGAATTTAATTAAAAGTGGCAACGTTAATGTGTGGCTTGCATTGACTGTATATAAAATGTGTTTTTTGTCAAAGAAAAGTAGTTCTACCTGATTTAAAGCTTTCGTGACTGCAGGGATTCATCTTCTTGGTTCTTTTGGTAAAGTCACGTAGAAGGGAAGTAATAAAATAATAAAAATAAAACATAATAAAATTATTTTAAAGCTTTCGTGACTTCAGGGATTCATCTTCTTGGTTCTTTCGGTAAAGTCACGTCGAAGGGAAGTAATAGAGTAATAAAAATAAAACATAATAAAATTATTTTAAAGCTTTCGTGACTGCAGGGATTCATCTTCTTGGTTCTTTCGGTAAAGTCACGTAGAAGGGAAGTAATAAAATAATAAAAATAAAACATAATAAAATACAATTTTATTTTATTATGTTTTATTTTTATTATTTTATTACTTTTATTATGTTTAATTTTTATTATTTTATTACTTCCCTTCTACGTGACTTTACCGAAAGAACCAAGAAGATAGTTCTACCTGATGACGGTTGCTTGTGTTGCAATCGAAACGTCGTATTCTATTATTTAATTTATTTTCTTTCTACGTGACTTTATCGAAAGAACCAAAGAGTAATTACTGCAGTAACGAAAGCTTCAAATCAAGTTTCAAAGTGAATCGTTTAACAACAGGTTAAACAGGAATTGAACACAGGTGGTGTATATGCCAGTCATGCCAGGCAGTCAGAGCATAACACCTGGGTCATGTCCCGTGACCTCTTGTTAGCGAGCCTTCCACACTTCACATGACCTCCGTGCACCTAGCCTGGTACAAAAACTGTGGTTACGTCACTGTCACTTTGTGGTTAATGGTGGCTGTTGTCGTTGTTTGTGTCTGAATGTCTGAACGTTTGTGTCTGACTGTCTGAGCATACATGGCTGAGGCATGTAGCTCACATGCCCAGCCACCGCATGCCCAAACAGCTTTTGTTTGGCTGGATAGAGGGGGCTAAACGGGCGTGACACAGGCTAAAGAAGATATTGAATGATGCGGTACGAGAGGTTATGGAGCTGAGTAGACTTGCCAATGACTGGTACCAGCGGTTTTCAAGATCGGCCTCTGTGGAGGAGGCTCGTGAAGAGCGCTACTGGGCAGTTGGAGGCAGACCCCCTCCAGGAAAAACGAAGGGCAGAAAAGCGATGCTCACAACAATGAGCAGAGCGCCGGGCAGCTAAAACACAGCAAGCACAGTAGGGGGCACAGGTGGTGCATCAATCAATCATCTCAGTCAGTGAAGCCATGGCACCTGGGTCTGTCCCATGACCTGCCAGTGGGCGTTTGAAATTTCACGTGGCCTTAAAGTGCCATGGTGACGTCACCACCACTTATTGGCGACTGGCAGTTGTTGTTATTGTTGAGCTTATCTTGCACACTCGAAATGAAGGACGTGGGCAGGTGATCCAAATTGAGGGCAAACACATTTATTGTGGTTAATCCATAAGATGCAACAGCATGTGTGTCACACGCAGCAATTCTTAAACTGAGTCGCCATTAACCACGTGACTGGTGTACAAGTGCAGTTAATCAATAACCCTGCCAGCCCCTTACAGGCCCAACTCCGTTATCGCATGCTGGTGTACTACACAGCACATCAGGACTTTCACAGAACCACACTTTACTCCCTTGCTGCACAAGGAAATAATTAAAAGAGTGGTTCATTCCTAATGTGTCACACGTACGTGCATGTTTGTCGGTGTCTCCATCTGCAGTCTTGCAGAGGCTAGCTCAGGACGAGCGCGTGTCCCAGGGCCTCAACGGGGACCTCTACTTCTCCAACGTGCGCACATCAGACACACGCGATGACTACATCTGCTATGCTCGCTTCGTGTACACGCAGACCATCCAGCAGAAGCAGCCCATCAAGCTGACGGTGCAGCCAGGTACGTGCCAGTCACTCGACCCTCGCTCAGCGTGCCGCTCGAGTGAGTGAGTTAGTCAATCGGTGCCTTCGCATGCAGTCGATTGGGAGTCTCCACAAGCCTCCTGCAAAGAAAAACGGAATGTACTCGATGCCCCAGCACTTGTACCATGCGGATTTTTGTATCAAGAGGTCTCAGCCAATGCCATGGATGCCACCACATGCACCATGGAATTTTTTCTTCCTTCTGCCAGGTCATGCGGCCATTACAGAGTTGGCTCCCATTCTTCAAACTCCGCCCTTTATCCCAACAACTACTTCTATGTGTTCCCCTTTGTGACTCAGTCAACACCCAATTCAATTTCTCATCGCCACCTCCATCTGGATTTAGATCATTTCCGTGGTCGCCAACCTCTGGGTACCGCTCCATTGCCCGTTTCGGTAACCTGACCCACTCCATCCTGCACACGTGTCGCACCCATCACAACCTCCTCTTCCCGATTACATCTGCAACACTTTCTATCCACGTTCTAGATAAACGTATATCTTTCTCACCCTAGCCTGCCATAACACGCCTAGCCTCTTCTACACGCACCTGTATCCAAGTTCAGCTCTCTTGAGCAACGCAGTACAACTAAACAAAATGCACTCTTCTCTTAATACTAAAGTTGACCTCACTACACTCACAAAGTGGCTAATGTAGTCCTTAAATAGCCCACCCTTATAATGCAATACATCTATTGACCCCCTTCTCACAACCCCCTGCGTTATGCGCATTACCCCCTAAACGCAGACAGTCTCTACGACCTCGAGGTGCTGACCTCCTCCTGACAGCTGGTACAAGCAGCCTCAATCCTAAACAATGCCATCAACGTAGCATTTGAAAATCTCAACTCCCAAGTCCCAGATTTCCAGCCTCAGTACGACACCTCGCTCTGCCAAAATCGGCATATCCCCCAGCCGTACACATGTGTGTATGGTACGAATCAGGCCAGCAGATAGTGACCGAATTACTTAACGCTTCAAGAAGAATGCTTACATTCATAACCGTAACCTCTTGAAACGGACATGCTTTAAAAGTGGCTGAAAGCGAATATTCAGAACCGTTGCTGTTTATAGACATCGAACACATTATGCAATGGGTACATAACATTCCTCTTACGCTGGTGTTTATTTCGTGCCAGAACAGAACACAGTGGCTGCTGGGTCAATGGCATTAGTACGCCGAGCGTGCTCAGAGCCGAGGTTTCTGGCTCGAGGTCCCCTGTTGAGCTGCTGCTACGTTATTAAGATAAACTCAGACTTACGATTGTTTTTTATTTCCTCTTTAGCCATTGTGTGCATTCCTCACAGTGGCAGGAGCAGCCTAAGTAGTCCCTCTTGGTTAATTACACGTAATAACGGCTGTAATATATTAAACAAATCAATTTCCGTTCTGTATCTCCATATAAACACCAAACACCCTTTAGTCTGTCACGGTAATAAATGGAAATGTCCAATGCGAGGAAGCGAGAACAGAATGATCTGACCTTTTAATATAGATTCATGCAGATGATGCTAAAACACGTTTAACTGAATAGGGTGAGCAACTCTGAGGTTCGAGAATAGAAAACGATAGGAGAGCATTTGGCGATGTAAAGTGTAAAGATGAGATCGCTGTGGTTTGGTCCATGCCTGCTGGATGGAGGAGAGCAGGTTACCAAGGCATGCGTTGGAGTGGGTGTTGAAAGGGCGATAGTCAAAGGAAAACCTGTGAACAAATGGTGACGATTGGACTGCAAGAGCAAATCTTGGATGTCAAATGTCCATTGTGCAAGGGCTGTGTAACCTGGCAGAAGGAACACGGAAACAGCGAGGTGGGGTGGCATCAGCAGCGGTAACCGTGACGACCTCTTGATCTAGACTTAAAACTTTCGTGACTGCAGGAATTCATATTTTTGGTTCTTTCGGTAAAGTCACGTAAATAGAAAACAAAAAATCTAAAATAATAGCAAAAAACCCACGACGTTTCGATCGCAACACAAGCAGTCTTCATCAGGGGGAGAGAAACGTGCCTGATAAAGACAGCTTGTGTTGCGATCGAAGCGTTGTGGGCTTTTTGCTTTTATTTTCTATTTTTTTGTTCTATTTACGTGACTTTACCAAAAGAACCAAGACTATGACCTCTTGATTGTCCAACCTCGAATGTCCATTCCTCTTTGAGTCATCTTGATTATTTCAGGATAGTCCTACTTGTGGAATATTTATTTGCCAAAAATGGCCACAACTGCGACACGCAATGGACTATGCCCCAGAGCCACATTATGGGATCTTAAAAGTCCACTCAAATTGCCAAGCGGCCCTTTCTTTTGGATATTTTTTTTCCAACGGCAAATCATCAAGGAGATTGTTGTCAAATCTGTACCGAAGGGCCTATAACCTAGCGGCATTCGCGCTTAACAACTAGGCAACCAGAAAACAAGGAAACTAAAACTGAAATATAATAGCATGCTCGTCAAGCAGAATTAATTCCACAAAGCATTGCACACTCATTACAGACTTGTAGAGCGATTGCACATTGCTAGCATGCTCAGATGCATTCACAATCACTATTATGTTTGTCCGCCTACAATTAGTGACTTTCTTTTCTCCCATAGCTTGAGTGAATATTAAATCAGTCGCAAATGCCAGCTTGCACTGAGATATTGAAAGCCTCAAATTATAACCCAGTCTTGCATGTGACGAATGCAAATGGCTATGTGCTGCAACCCGTTGGTCGTGTGCTGAGAGCACTCAACAATCAGAATGTTGAAAGTTCAAATGCTAGCAAAAGGTCAACTGAGCCATGCATTTTTTTTCAGAGGTGAATAAAATGAGGACCACTTCGTGGGAAGTAACCAGTGATTTTTTTGTATGAAGAGACTTGCTCCTACCAGGGAGATATTGAATTTCAACAATTGATTTCACAGCTACCAATACAATTTTGGACCACCCCCTTCGCCATATGGTCATTGAGAAACATTACCCCTTGACCTGACATAATTTTGGTTGGCTAATTACATAGCTTGTCAGGGCTGGCAAAGACGTTAATTATTGACAAATTTTCATCCTTGGAAGGATTATTTACTAACAAGCTCCTGGAATCAGGCCAGTTGGCTCGCGACCGGAAGGCTGCTGAGTTCATATGCTGGCAGGGGGTTGGCTTGGCCCATTATCCCTTTGGATTAATAAAAACCAGTCCCCGTTTGTGCGGATGGCTCTACTTGTTCGATGGCTCTACTCACCCCCGCCATAGAAATATTGCATTTTCACCACTGGCTCAGGGATGTGAACAGGAGATGAGCACTGCCTCCATCTCAATTTATCAGGAAATCACTTTGTCGTGTTACCATTGTGTGCTTGCTTTTCTGTCTCACGATTTACTTTGCTCATGTAAGGCAATAACTGCATGAACTCATCTCTGTGTTTGTTTTATTTTTTGGACGTGCATGTTTGTGTGTGCATTTTCTTTTTTTTCAGTTGATGCCAGTAATGATACAGAGTCTGCTAATGCCAGTGATGCTGACATAAATGGTGGTGAGTTTATTTTTTAATGAAAAGTAATGAACAGATTCTTTATTTTCTTCAACTTTTTAAATCTGTAAACAAACGCTAATCTCCTCCTAAAAATGTAAATCTGTCATCTTTTCTCTATTCCACTGTGCAGACGTTAAGCTCCTTTGGCAGTAGGGATCGCAAAACAAGCAAAGTGGAACTGATTAAAACTGCAAAAGATGAATTTATGAACAAGTTAATTGAAGTAAAATTACTTAATAGTACTGAGTAGACATTTTAACAGATTTGACATTGCCAACATCATATACATATACTATTACAATGTAATTACAATATACAAGGAGTAATAGGCTATCAGTGCCACTGTGTGGAAGTTACAAGAGGAAGAAGTTGTTCCTGCCATAGGAACATGGAATTTAGACTGCTTGCTTATGACTGCCAGTAGGGATCAGTGTTACTTATTGCTCCATTTATTAGGAAGAACACTTTGACTATACTCTGCAATAGTTGCTCTATGAATAATGTATAACACCATGAAGGTTCTCAATTACCAAATGCATTAGATTTGTGAAATGAAATTAGATTGAGATGATTGAGATGGCAAAAAATGAAACATAGATGCAATATAACTTGGTGTAACTGAGATGCAATCGTACTTTGGAGCTAGTTTTGTATAAATGTACCATTGTTTTGCAACACGAGAGTTTTCGTGATTGGCATTGCAGACAATTCTATACATTGCTTCTGTTAACTCCAGGCTGATCGAATGAGTATTCCCATTTGTGATTCCATCACGCTTTGCAATAATGTCCAAGTGAATTGTGTGTGCATTTATGTTCATCATTGTTTCATTTTCAGAAAACAATAATGACATTTTGCCATTAAAATATCATATTTCATTTCTACATGATTAATATATATTAAGTTTTCCATAATAATGTAATTATTGTTATGCCAGCTATTCGCGTGCATTTAGATACACGTAGAAAATACTTTTTACAGGGTGGCCCAGGATGGCACAGGGTGGCACAGTTAAAAAACACTCGTGCCCATAGCAAGAAGTTCCTGGGTTCAATTCCTGACTTGGACCACCTTTCGACGTGGAGTTAGAATGTTCTCCCCTTGTTCTGAATGGGTTTCCTCCAGGCTCTCTCTTTGCCTCCTGCAGCTAAAACACGATGGCCAAACATTGCAATGCAAAACATTACCTGCAAATTACTCAATTTAAATGAGACGCGGCAACATTGACCCCTACTGCGAAAAACTTGGCAGGACCCTTGTGCAATAGAATCTTGAGACTCAGTGAAGCTTCCCTTGATAAACAAGAATAGTAAGAAAGTACACATGCACAGAGCTTCCCAAGTGGCACCGTGGTTAAAGCACTCACCTCACGTTTGGATGATTTAGACAACCTCCTCTGTAGTGTCAATACAATGAAGTACCACATTATAGAAAGTCAACAGTGGTTATACCATGGATACTCTGGTCCCTGCCTCTGAATTACATACAGTATGTCGAATTTCCACCACTGGCTCAGCATCACCAATGGAAATGAACATTGCCCATGGGGAAATTTTCCGATTACGGTATATATACCTACTTTAAATAATTATTTTCTTTAAACTATTCAGACACACACTCAAGCTCAATTTTAAGTGAGGGAGATTTTAATTATTCTCGTGGACTTGACTTAATTAAATTATATTGGCTCTTTATAATTTGTGTAATTGAGACAATTAAAATTAAACAGCAATTGCTTATAATAAATCACCTTTCAAGGGTTTTGTAATTGGGTAATTTTGTATCTATATATAGCCCCCAGCATCAGATTATAAACACATTTAAATCTGTGTTTTCAGCAGTCGATATAAAATACAATATCCCAGCATGCCGCGAACCGGCGGTGTTGAAATTAAGAGTGTGAATCGTGCAATATTAAAACCTATTTTCCTTTAGAAATTAAAGGTATTGTAATTATTCGTCTCTGCTAATGCAGCGGCTCAGTTTCCACGCTCCTTTGACTCAAATCGTTTCCACGGCGGTGTTTATCTGCCCTAAGTTTGTAATGGCAAAGCAATGAGCTCTGTCTCATAAACGCCGCCTCGTGACAGAATCATTATCTGTGCTAATAGAACACTGCTTTGCTGACATTTCAAATGAAAAACCCCCCAATGTGTCATTTATTTTGATATAATTCAGAAAGCAATGCGTATAGCACGAGTGATGATGGCTTATATTTATTCATGGAAGTCTCACTGAGTCTCAAAACTCCTATTCAGGAGGAGCTGCGAATGGGATATATCTCATATTAATTAGATATATGTCAATATATCTCATTAAAATTCCAACAACATTAACCAATTTTTGTTGTAAATTGCAATAATTTTGATCACTTTAAATACCCAAATTCATCAAAAATATATAAAATAATGGTAATCATTCTTGATTTTAGCTTTCGTGACTGCAGGAATCCATACTCTATGGTTCTATCGGTAAAGTCACGTGGGTAGAAAAAATAATGAAATAAAACACGACGTTTCGGTCGCAACACAAGCGGCCATCTTCATGTTGTATATCTACGTGACTTTACCGAAAGAACCAGAGAGTATGGTAATCATTGTTTAAAAAGAGACATGTTACATTACTAGACAACTCAAGTTCAACTCTGGGTAGCTGCTGGATGGTTGGTCACATCACAGGAGCGTGAGAGGTGGTCGCAGCATGGGGAGGCCTTCATCGAGCAGTGAATTGACCATGGCTGATGAGAATAATGATGATTAGTTACCATTCGTTCATCCACATGGAAGCCAGTGAACACATGACTATAGGGAGTGCACGTGAATCACGAAGGATCTATCTGTTTTATTTCATTCTTTGCTCTTCGTGTTGTTGAACTTGGTTAAGCTGCGTTGGTCTCTGCTGCTCCTCTGCTTTTGTTTATTTAATTTATTGACGGCCACACCTTATCACTCTAAACCTTCCCTCCGACTAAGTCGCTTCCATTCAATGCTTCTTGAATACTCGTGTGTGGCCGTAATGGTACATGTGCTTTCGGTGGGTTGCGTTCATCTGTTTTAAAATGTTAAACGATATGCTCATGTCATCGTAAGTGTACACACAAGCATATGGACACGGACACGTGCATGCATAAGCACATGCATACTCACAAATATACAAAGTATTACATATACATACATGTATGTGCGTTCACGCTTTTAACTACATGTGTTGATCCACGAGTGTGCGCACATTGGTGCGTATGTGTATATGCACGTGCATATGAATTATGTGTGTGTGCACATATGGGTATGTGTACATCCGTATATAGATTGGTGCGTGCATGTGTCCACACGAGTTTGTTCCAGACGGCCGCAGAAGCGCAGAACACACATGCTTACAAACACGTGTATTTACACTTGTGTACATGTGTGTGTACACTTGTATGCATGTGTATGTCTCTGTATATATATATACATTGTGTCACGTGGCGTCTGCACAGGGAGCCGCGTGGATCTGTACCCGCCACACTTCCTCTCTCCCGTCGGTGCCTCCAGCACTAAGATGGTGCTCAAAGGAGACGTCCTGAGCCTGGAGTGCATCGCAGCCGGCCTGTATGCCATCGCACTGCGCCACACGAGCAAGCAGCAGCTGTCACACGAGCGTACATAGCGGATGCACCGCGGTGGCAAGATGTTCACGAGATGTTAACGAACTCGCCTGGTGTGCAGGAGGTCGTGGGGTCGATCCCGACCCTGACACCCTATGTGTAATACTAACATCTCCGCGCAGTTAAGTTCTGGAATCCAGAGCTGTTCTGCAATCTCCTGATGACCTCGCGGATATGTTTGGCTAGCTACGGGGATGCGATAAATGGCATTAAAACATCGTAGTGAAAAACAATGGTTTGAAAGGCTCATTGGTCAATTAAACATTGTTACAAATCCACGATTAAAACAGATGTCTTACCACTGATTGAAAACAACAGATCGTCACGCACAACCCTGTGTGAGGCAGCACATTACAGTACCCTCACGGTGGTCTTGTTCCTTGCATCCTGCATCACCTTGTCCAAACCGCAGGCCGACGCCACGCATCCAGTGGTACAAGTCTGGCGCGGAGATGCCGTGGGAGCGCGCGAAGCTCCTCAACTTCAACAAGACGCTCATTCTGGCAAACGTGACGGAGGGTGACGACGGCAACTACGTGTGTCTCGCTTCCAACCGGCTGGGAGCCCAGAGGCACACGACCACCGTCTCCATCGAAGGTGCGCGTCGGTTCTCATTCGCCAGCTCAGCGGGTTTACCAGCTGCGATGGCCATCGAAATTGAACTTTTTTTCCTCTTTGAATGACCAACTGGGAAGTGCTGAACTCCCATTTATGGCCTATAGCTAGCATTGGCAAAGTCCAGATTTTTTTAATTAACATTCCTTCTCTTTAATAATGTTACCCCAATCCCCTCCCTTTGATGCTGCTAATCCTGCATAATGCACGGGCATTATGACTTTAAACCCCTCGCCAAACCTCCTACGCATTTCACAAGTAGTACTAATCGCATATCTGCATTTCCCATAAATATGCTAAATTCCTCTTGATATGCAAATTATTTTGTCAAGGCGCTCTTCGCCCCTCCATCCCAGCTTAAATATACGCTCCAAGCCTGGGGCGTGTCATTCAGACTCTGTCTCCTCGACAGACCTGTTCTCCACCTGAGGACGGCTGCTTGCGTTGTGGCCGAAACGTCGTGAGAATTATTTGATTATGTTTTATTTTTATTATTTTATTATTTCCATTCTACGTGACTTTACCGAAATTGAAATTTAAAGTCCAGATTCTTATGGTCGGGGCTTGGTGTGCCTTGAAGATGTCCACTGTTGAATTCTCGCAAACGTGCGTAGCCCTGCGACGTCTTGCTCATGCCACAGCTGGCAGGAGAACAGTCCACTCGGGATATCTATAGAGCCCATCTACCACAAAAAGTGGTACTTATTTTAATAGCGCCCTGATGAATACTTATTCAGTGAAGTGTGTCTGTACCAAAACCAGGATTTGAAACTCACAGCCTCATGGCTGATTGCAATGCTCCAACCATAGCACAGCTTGGCGGTAGGTGCCCAACGAATTGTAATCAAGTGACGTGGCATTGGGGTCGGCGGATCATGCAGAGATGGAGCCATCGACTGTGTGATACACCCGCTTGCAGGGCAATGAGCTTTGCGGAAATTCCATATTGCCACGGTTGGAATGAGTCTTATCACCCACAAAGGACACCCACTTTTGACTTTCTGCAAAGCAATGGTGTATGCTTCTAATCTAGTGCTTCAGAAAAAGAGTTGGTGCATCATGAAAGTATTATCAGACTTCCAACCTATAGAACTACTAGGCCACATGTCAGTACAAACATTAGGTTGATGGTATAGGTGTGTGGTGTTTGATTATTCGTTTCAACATATACGTACATGGGTTTTCTCACACATCATTGGAGTCTCCTCCCACACAAGATAAACATGAACAATGAAGTGAACGGACATCCAACGCAAAACATTTTTTTTTGTACATATAGAATTTTGAGACTCGGCGAAGCTTTCCTCAATTTATTTATTTACATGAAAACGTTTGACAGCAAAGGTCAAGAGTCTCAAACAGTCTGTTTATGGGCTCAAAAGATGATGAAACTACCGTTTCACTTCGTAAGACGGTATCGCATCTCTGCGGACTCTTATTTCAGCAGCGAAAATGTCAAAACGTACATCAAACACTGTTCTTATCGAAAGAATGTGACCGGCTGCGTTTCTAAGAATCTTACCCATTTAAAATGTTTCAAACTGCACCATTGTTTGATGAAAGGCTTTTGCCGTCATCAACATGTACTGAGAGTCAATGGCCATGCCTCGTGCAAGGAGTCACCAAAATGTAGGGCGTCGTGCTGTGCAGCTAAGGTGCCATTTAATCCATCACTAATCCCCTAAAGGATGAGTTTGAAATCGCTGGCCACCCTGCGGCCAATTCACCAATCCTTCCCCAAAGTGCTTTAATACCAGCGTGTGAGCCTCTTGACAAGGATGTATAATATACATTATATTTAGAGTGAATGTAAAGGCGCATTGGATGTATAATGCTTCACTCCATTATATTGACAATGCGAATTTTATTTTCGCGCATTGAGGCTTGCTTGCAAAAGGTCCCACGTTAATCATAATTCCGTGATGATAATGTCTTGAGAATTGGTAAATAAAAGTGTCCCTGTGATGGTATGAGCATTCGGCGGCACTGATCACTATTGGTGGCCTTCAGCCATCAGTGAAAATTCAACATTCCTATGGTAGGAGCCAGTCTCTCTAGAGGACGACCACAGCTAATGTCCTGGAAAGTGCCAATCATTTTACTGGCCCCAAAATATTAATAATTATGGTTTGAGTCGATGTCAACAGGGATTTGAACTGGAACCATGATTACTTAGCTAAGTCGAGCACGACTCGCTGCGATGTCTCTATTTTGGCCATTCAATGTAATTATTACCATGACTTAGAAATGTGAGGTCGCCTTATTTGTGAAACTGCCGCGTTATTGTGCTCGACCAACTCCTGCTGACCGTTCTCCCCCTGTGTGTGGTGTGTGGACACAGCCGCCCCCTACTGGCTCACGGAAGGGCCTGAGAGCCGCGTGGTTCAGCCGGGCGAACAGACGGCCATCATGTGCCGCGCTACCGGCAACCCCAAGCCGTCGATTCGCTGGCTCCTCAACGGAGGGCCCATTGAAGGCAAGTGACGTTCACCGCGAAGAGTAGCAACGAGTGGGGGCAATAGAAGCCACCTGTAAGACGCCATCAGAACGATGGTGATGAGTGCGCGGCGCGTCCGCAAGATGGAATTGAGGAGGGCAGATCACCGAGACTGGTGCTGGTCTACTTCAGTTGGGACCCGGAGGTCGGTGACCAAGAGGAAGACCTTAAAGCCAGATACTGGGAATAATGAGCCCTGTAAGAGTGCACTTTGGAGGACAGGTGTAACGTTTGCGATCGTTATAGGATCTGGCGGTAAGGAAGGAAGCGATGGCAACGTGTGCCGGCCTGACGAGCCGCCTTCACGTCACAGCCTCTTGACCTTGATGTACAACAGCAGTCAGTGGGTGTTGCGCAACACCATCCACCATAAGCCAGTGATAGAAATTAGACATTCCGATTATAGGGAATTGTCTTCTATCAGTCAACCACGACCGACATTCAACAAAGCGATACTTTCTTTATTTTATTTGATTGACTCAGTCGGGAAGATGGACCGAGTTGACCCAACTTTAGGATGCGAACCCTCGACTTTATGGGTGTGTGTCAAGTGCTCTGTCAGTAGAGCGAGACAAAAAGTTGTGAGTTTTAAAACAACAATTAATCTTGTTGCCTGAATATACATTTCTAAAACCAGTCGGTCATGTTTCGTGAATTGCAATTCGATATCTAACATCGTTTACTGTTCAGAATTGTTCATATGTGACGAGGAATTTTTAGATGTAATTGAGTGGATTCAGAGAAAGAGGTTCCCTATCTTTTTCTCGGCTTGGCCGTGCGTATCGTGCATTCGTTTGTATAATTGTTTACAACTACGTAGGTTTTGAGCACTGCGCTGCATAGCTCTCCGATGTGCGTGTTACGTGGCACGGTGTTGTGGCATTATGCTCCAGCAATTCAGCTCCTTCAGCAACAGCTCGTGCTCCGACAAAGCTCCCAGCACGTGGACAACAAAAAAACAACAACATCGGACACCCGTGCACAAAAAACGCGGCGGTACACAACCGTCGAAAAAACCCGCATCGTAGCGCCGTATAATAATTATCGTTGGCTCGAATAGTTATTTTTGCTTATTTATTTCAGAAGCTGGCAACGACCCGAACAGGAAGGTGGATGGTGACACCATCATCCTGTCAGACCTGCCCGAGGGGATGAGCGCTGTGTACCAGTGCGAGGCCACCAACAAGCATGGCTCCATCCTCGGCAATGCCTTCGTCAACGTGCTGGGTCAGAGCTGCCTGTTCTTTGAGCGCTCACACGGCATGAGTTTAACGGACCATTCATTCTCATCATCGTCGTTATCAGCATGAGCATAGCATTAATTATCTCCATCCATCATCATCATTGTCACTATCATTATTATTTCTGTTTTTGTATACAGTAGTGCCTTTGCACTAATGGACCCAAATGTGCCTGCATGTGTTTGTTTTTATAATAATGAAATGAATAAATACGTAGTTAAAAACCCTGACTATTTGGTTGTGGATCGACACAACACCCCATGGTGAAATATAACAGTGTTATCAATTTCTGGAACTATCACCACCACGATCATCATCATCCACCTCGCAAAAAAATGTCCTGAGCATTTTATTTTATGGAAATATTTCACCTGGGAAACCCTTGAGATGGAACTTCTTGTTTGCGAGGGTGTCCAGCGCATCAATGGATACAGGTACATAGCCAACACGTAACGACACGTGTGCAGAAATGTTATAGCATTGTCAATCACCGTCTTTGGTAGGGAAAATAATGCACCAGCGAATGCATGTATGTATGTTGAACTTCTTTCGCACCGTACGTGACCAACCGTGCTAATCGGGGATACGGGGGAAGGACAACAAGCTAAACACAAAAAGCAGTTCTAAAGAAATGAGTTTTCAATATAGATGTATTGAATATTTGGGTTGCATACAGAGCGACCGATGAAAGCACTGGAAGAAGCAGCGCTAGCTGCCTCGGTAATGGGGAAGAGGTGGTCGCCGCTACTTTAGGGGCTACTCACGAGACAGAGAGAGATGCTTGTGGCACAGCTAAGATTTGCCACGTGTGGAGAGAGAAGAGCTATAGAGTTGGGCAGAGTGCAAAGAGATAAAGTTGGCACTTGGTCATCTGAGTGTAATAAATGGCACATACCCAGTTCTGGGTTAGGAACACGAATGTTTGCTTGATTATTTTATGATTACTTTTTCTGCACGATTGAATTTGTGATCAAAAATAGCCATTGACGACAGTGCGGACTCGGTGTACACCACACACAGTATCATTGGATAACCCTCAGTGCTTTACCAGCCCACTAATTGGCTTGTACAATTATGAAGCCACTAAAACCCTGAACATGACCTTGAAAATGTTGGCCTCGCATCGACTGAATCGTATCAGATTTTTGTATTTAAAAAAAAGGTTTCTATATGTCAGTTTATGGCGTTGTGTACATGGAAATTAACATGCCCATTTTGTACCTCTTACAGCTGTTCCACCCAGGATCCTGTCACCAATGAATAAAGTCTATGCTGCCGTGGTGAACCAGACGGTGCACATTGAGTGCAAGGTGTTCGCTTCGCCACAGCCCACCTTCATGTGGTACGTCCCAAACACCCATCAAACAAAGACAAAGATCGCCCATATAGCCTTAACAGACTGTTGGGGCAAGAGCTGTTAGCAAGCACCTATGAAGGTCGGCGCGGTACACAAAGGGGTGGGTGGCCAGCTCCACGCTCAACTGTCTTTGTGTCCCCAGCGGCGATATTTTTTACACAACGGACCAGGTACTAATTTGAGGCTGAGTCGCCCTGGGGGAAGCCCAAGACCAGTTCAGATAATCGTCACGGGATTTGGCCATGAACGGGAATCAAACTTGAGTGGCCTGGTTCGTAGCGCAGCGCTGCTAACCGCAACCCTACTGCTCCCCACTAACACCCATCACCCAACACACACTCTGACACAGGAATATGTAGTAGCAATAGCAGTAGGCTTTAAGCACTCTGGTTAGAGTTCATGATACTGGTTATGGGTTGACTCAGCCCATCATCTGTCTGGTCCAAATAAAATACCGCTCTGTGGGCAGCCTAAAGAGGTTGTCTTGTGTGACAGACTTGCCCCCACCATGGGAATGTGGAATTCCAGCACGCAGTTTTTTTAAGACGTGCATATCTATAAATGTTTTTGGAGGCTCTTGCATTGAGATCTACGTTCACGTTCAGCAACTCAAGAGACCAGGATAGTCTAAATTTTCTAGAGTCACTTGGGACATTAGTGTGCCTATAGGGGGCAATTGTTTGCTATGGAAATGCTTTGAATTGGAAAGCTTTAGGCCTGGACGACAGCACTCAATCGCCGTATCTTGTGAAAAGATGTCAGGGATCTTCAACGTCCACTAAGTGCACGTATAATTATACTTATTAAACTCCCAGTAATAATGAGTGCAGCAGCTGGATTTGAACCATGAAACTCAACAACAAGCGGCGAGCGTGCTACTGCTATCATACCACCATGGTCAATAAAATGTGTGCCATCGTGTTGCACTAATTTGGTTTTCCTGTTTTTTAGCTGAATCCTACGTTTAGAAGAAAGAATTGTCACCATTGGCTCAGGGTTACCGGCAGTGGGGATGTTTTACAAATGTCTAATTCGTTTTGTTTGCTTTTGGAAGAAACCATAATGCCCGGATAGATCCCACTCATTCACATTTGACTTGGGGATAATGAATAATAATAATATATGATGAATAATGGTATGTGGATGATGATGATAATTATCATCGTTACGATTCATAATGGGGGATACAATATAGATGATAATTGTGATGGTTTTATAAAATAGGATCATCGCAAAAAATGTATTCAGCCTCTCGTGCTGTACGGTTTCTCCTGGTGTGTACTGCTTAACAATGACAGCAGTAACATATTCTTGGTTCTTTCGGTAAAGTCACGTAGACGGGAAATAATAAAATAATAAAAATAAAACATAATAACGTCGAGGCGAGTCAAACGTCGCAATCAGTCGGTGTGCGCGTGCCGGGTGGATTGATTATTACATCGCTGGATCGTGAGAGATAGCGGTGGCTTGCGGAGGCCCTTCATCCAGCAGTGGATTGACCATGGCAGATGAAAATAATACTGATGACGAATAATAACATTGTATGTTGAATTTCTTTCGCACTGTATGTAGCCAACCATGCTAATCGGAGGTGTGAGGAAAGGGCAACAAACCAAACATTAAAAACAGTTCTAAAGGGATTCGTTTTCAATATAGATGATTTAAAAGTGTGTAGCCCCAGTGGCTTCCTAGTATTGGAAGAAAGAGCGTTCCGGACTGGTGTCAGAAAGCGTGCGGTGCGGTGACCGTCCTTGTTCGACGGCTCGCCAAAATCCGCCGCTGCCACGAGGAAGACCGGAGGTCCCGCGATGATGGTTTACGCTCCATCCTCACCGTCCTCCCCAGAATACCCATAAACGACCTCGGGCTCACGTCCCAGGCCAATGTTGTTGACGGCCCGCAGGAAACTTAATAATAAAAACAGTTCTAAAGGAATGGGTTTTCAATCTTGATTTAAAAGTGCATAGCTCCATTGGCTTCCTAATATCGGAAGGAAGAGCTTTCCAGATGGCCGCAGAAGAGCATCTGAAAGCGCACGATGCGGTGACCGTCTTTGTTCGATGCTTAGCCAAAAGCCGCTGCCGCGAGGATGACCAGAGTTCACGTGATGGTTTATGCTCCTTGACGAGATCAGCAAGGTATTGCGGTTAATTTCTGGCAAGCAATTTGTGCGTGTAATCAGTGCTTGGTGACGATGACTGAGTGTGGGTCTCTTTGGCGGTGGGCGACAGGTTCAAGGACGCCCACGGAGGGAAGCTGGAAGGTCCGCGCTACCAGGACTCGGCGGCGAGCGACACGCTGGTCGTCCCGCGGGTGCAGAAGGGCGACGCGGGCGTCTACACGTGCCACGTGCAGAACTACCTCAACAAGAACCAGAGCCTGGCTCGGCTGCTCATCAAGGGTCAGTGACACCAGCACTCCTATCGTTTTTTTTATTGTTTGTTACTGTACCGTGCAGACCCGCCCATACTGAACACCTGTGGAAAAGAGCTTCATAGCTCATCGGATTTCTCCTCCAGTCAAAATAAAGATTCTGATTCTGATGTGTGTTGAACTTCTTTTGCACCGTACGTAGCCAGCCATGCTAATTCGTGATAATGTGACATCCTCCTGGCGAGCCTTCGACACTTGGCGTGGCTTGAGAGTGCACCTAGCCTGGTGCAAGCGTTGTGATGTCACCGCCAATAGCGCTAAGTTTGCGCTTGGTCCTCTTGACAAGTCAAAGACAAAGTGGTCTCCCTGCACAACTTCGTATGAAGTGGAGCTCTACTCCAATCGGAGTCTTGAACGAGTGTCCGAAAATCATCATCCCAAAGGCAAAAGCATGTCTTCCCATATAATGCCACTGGTGGCTTCCCACTAACTGTGGAAATCATTTAACCTGCCCGCATGGGGATGATGGGCTAAGTCAATCCCCAAAAAGGGTTGAACTCGCAACCTTCCAACTGCAAGTAGAGTATGCTAAGTAGAGTGCCTTTTTGGATAATTTCACAAATCGAAGTCTTATCTACATCCCAGGTCTGTCTGATTTGCTGCACACTAGAGACCAATGGCTGTGACTCTTCTACCCCTGCCAATTCGGTGACTTGTCGCTCTTCAGGGTCGCGATTCGAATCAAGGAATTAATTATATTAAACATTGACCGTGGACGGGATAAATGGTGTTAAATTATGTTTGTGTCGCAAGTATGATGATAGCAACGATGACTCCGTACGTGTGTGGTTTTCTTTTTGTCGCACAGACCCAACGCGGATTGTGCAGCCCCCATCGGAGCTGCGCACCCAGCGATTTGGCGTTGCTACGTTTGAGTGCCATGCCACCCACGACCCCAGCCTGAGCCTCAACATCTCTTGGTTCCATGACGGATACCCGCTTCCAGAGAGCCCCAGGTCAGTCCACAACCGTTTGGGTGTCCCCAGCCAATCGATATAATGCGATATGGTTTCAGGACAGTGACATGATCCCAAATAAACCAATGGGCACACAAGTGCTCCCAGTACTTTGGAGATGAAAACAGACATTTTTTTAGAGGAAACAAGTATAACCCGTAAAAACAAAGTTTTTCACTATAAATCCTTTATATGCGTGGCGGCTAGAGTCCTCTCGTCATCTGGCTTGAGATGGCTGCCACCTATGGGTCAGATGATTGCATGGCAGCATTAAGCAATTGGTAATTAAATATAATATTTTTGTCCTAAAAAGTGTAAAATTTTGGAAAAAAAATTTCACGAACATTAATTGTCACACACAACGAGTCTGTGTGGAAAATGTCAGCTCGATTGGATCACGGGAAGTGGGTTAAAAAACGACCGAAAGATTTACACGGTCCTAAGCAAGCAAGCAAGTGAACTTAATATAAAGGATTTAAAAAGTGTCTCCCTTCTGAAACTAGCGATGGAATGCCACTGATATCCATTGCCCTGAGCCTTCGTGACAATTCCACATTCCCATGGTAGGTGCTAGCCAGTAATTAGAATGATCTCAATAGATATCCTGTAAATTGGTACTCATATCATTGACTCCATGTAAATGATAGCCTGAGCCAAGCCCTGGCCAAGATTTGAACTCTCACCTATTTCATTGTGAGCAGAGCATACTAATTGCAGCACCACCCAGCTGGATGGATAAATAAGACAGTATTGTAATTAGTATTATTTCCATTCGTGTCATTACAACAGCTGGAATACATATAACGTGAAATGTTTTCATCTCGGCGTGTACCGTGTACAATCATCGTCGTCTTGCCCTCTCGCGTTGCGCTCAGACACGAGCTGGAAGGGAGTGGCCTGACCATCGTGAACGTGACGGAGGAGGACGTTGGCCACTACAAGTGCAGAGCCTCCACGGAGTTGGACCACGCCGAGGCAGAGGCTCGACTCACCGTCATAGGTACAAAGAAGCCGGGCTGGGCACTTGCAGGACAATAGCTCTGGCTGGGTATACAAGCGGAGGAAGCTCTGCAACAGATTTCATTGAAACGCTTTGATAAGTTGCCGATGATAGTTTAATTTATTGCATCATCTCTCCACAGATGTCCGAACAATCAACTTAATCATTCACGTACTTAATCCAATTCATCCACCAGCTCCCAAGAAAACCCTACTTTATTTTGGACAATGAGCTTCTGTGGGTTATCAAGTCTATATTTGTTCTTCCCAAGACCCTCCTCAAATATTTAACAAAATAGATAACCAAACAATGTCTCCTTCAATCTAGATTTGAAGTTTTCTTAATAAATCACAGTATTTCATATACAAGCGATTGGCCCACAACCTTCTGTGGGTACATAATTTAGCAGCATTGATTCAAAACAAGCAAAACTGTGGAGGGCTTTTGACATACAGTGTCTCATCAGCAGTCAGACTTGCTTCAACCAATGCTGGTGAACCACCTGATGTTGTAGGCTCAAATGTGGGATGTGTTCTACATCACAGACTCACGGCACAGTTGCGTCGGTGTGTGCCACCGCTCTCTCAGCTCGAAGGCATTGTCCCATCTCCTGGTGAAATCAGTTTTTTTTAATCTAAAACCTTGCTGGCAAAGTGTTTGTTGCACATATGAATTCAGCATCCACACTGGCCACTTTGTTGTTATTACTTATTATTACATTTGTTTACCAAGGAAAGCCTCGCTGAGTCTCATGACTGTTTTTCAGGAGGGCCCTGCCACGTTTTCGTAGGGTTGTGAGTTACAATCCTAGTTGGGACTCAACTAAGCCCATCATCTGCGTCGGGTTAATAACACGAGTACAACAAATTTGTGGGAAGTTAAAAGTATTTTTTGTGTGGAGACTGATTCCTGCCAGAGGAACAAACAATTTCCATCACTGGCTTAGGACTAGCAATGAGCACTGGCCAAGACTTCATTTGATTATGCACTAAGGTGTTGTTTGGTAATGTGCTAGTTGACTGTTGCTGCATAAGGCATATCCCAATGATATTTAAAGTAGCAAGCTTTGAGGTGGCTCAGAGGACTCATAATGGCTGTGTAAATGTAATGAGGCAACACTGCTGATATGCATGGTTCAAATTGGGGCAGACTCCTCTGATTAAATCGGGTTCTCGAGCGTAGCAAGTTGATGGCCTCGGCACAGTCACCGATTGGCTGCACAAAAGAAATAAATTTTGTTTGTCGTTTAATTTGTCCTCTGCGGGGAATATGTCCAAAAGCATCTATAGTACGTAAATCATCATTTACGTCGATTGTTTACGAAACGAAATCTTTTTCGATCGGAAAATATTTTAGATTCCATCACGGAGGGTTTATACGGTTCCACCTATTGCGTGCCAAAGTTTAAAAAACGTCGAAACGCAAGTCCCTTGACGGATCACGCTGTGTTAAGCAACACGTGCATGCAAGATTGCCACTGATTGTCCCTATTTACCTGCAGCTCTTATCCTAAATGCGATCTCCGGCCGTGATTCTCCCCCTCCCCGTATCTGTGCCTCAATGTTATTAACCAAGTTTTATTTTCCCTTCCCCTGCCTGCAGAACTAATGTGATTTTCCCCGCCTGCCTTCTGGATATGAACCAACTTGTCCTTCTTTCCTGTTATTTGCTTGTATGCCGTTTACCTGCCTGACTGTCGATTGAATAATTTTCATTTTTGCTTTGTTGTAAACACTGAATTATATTTGCAAGTATTCCGACAACTAACCCGGCATGCGGTAACAAGAACATTTCAAGAAATGTATGCTATGTCTAGAAAATGACTATCTAGGGGTGGCCGCTTAGCTTAGGGTGCTAATGCTTTGTCAGAGCAATGAGCCAGTACTGCTGAGATGTTGGGTTCGAATCTGAGTTTCAGCCACCCATGATTGAAGGGGTTTTGTTCTCAATCATGTCATAGGTTGATGATCTCAGTGCAGTTAACCAATGACTGTGCTGAAATATCGTGACAAATTTGGGTTTTCACTCAATCTGGCTTATTTCAGGTGTGGGAAGTTAAAACAAATATATTGACGTGATGAACACTCTCTGCAGGACATATGCCACTTTGTGCTGCAGAGAGGGGGCCGATTGAAGTGAATTCAGAAGTATTTTTGTGATGCTATCATCCAGGGGCCATTCTCTGACAATATCTGACGTTACAGTGCTGAGTGGGAGAGCTCACACTGGAAATGTATTTATCTCATGACACGATGCCTGTGGCATAATTCAAATAGTCAAAAGTACACGAATATTCTCTACAACAGCAAAGGCCTAGTTTAACATTGTGCCGCATGGATTGAACGGTTCCTGTACCTCCAGTCTGTGCTTTTTGTTCATTAACCAACGCCTCCCTCTCCCTCCCGATGTTCTTTACACTTTGACCCTAACCCTGCCTGCCCTCTCCTTTTCCCGTGCTGTCTCCCCTTCTCCCCTGGGAACATCCTAAGACTCCCCAGACGCCACCCTATCCTCTCCCGAGCTCAACGCGACGCTAGTTAGCTCTCCCTCTATACCCAGCCCCGTCGGCGGTGTGGCGGTAACGATAGGTAAAACGAAACCCCCGTCTGCTCCCTGTGCTTCGGCCCACTGCATTTATCTGTGATGCCCTCACGTCACATCAGCATGAGCACTTGGATCTAGTTAGTTTGTCGTCGTGCGGCGCTCATCCATTTCATCTGATCACAGACGGCGATCATGATTTGCGTGGCTGTATTTTCTTTCATAATTAATTAACCCAGGTACAGTATTTTAGTGCGATTCTTCTCTCCTGATTTTAAGTGGGACACAGCTCGAACATTAGTTTGAAGCTGCTGTGCTTCGTCGAGTGAATATCGATCGACAGCAATTGCACATTTGAAATCAGTTTTTTTTATATGTATAAAAATAAACATATGCAGGTCCATCTTTAAAAATATGACTGCTGGCTACAAGATGCCATAATTGTGGCTTTCAAATTCCACTCCACTCCACAAAACAAATTGGAGACCACTGTGAATTTTACCAACTTGCACTATGCATTGAGTTGTAGCCGGGATCACGTGGCTCCCACCTTGCGCAAGGAGGTGAATGGTCTCTTGTGAGGCTGTGATGTCATTGGCTATGGTAGTGTGCCTTAAAGTCACATGGCTGTGGCATTCGTTTTTTTTTTATGACAGAGTTTCAAACTTGTGTCGGACAGCCTGCGTTAATCAAGAAAATACCAGTGTTTTCATTTTGAGTTGTGTCTTCCTTTAAAACACATAAACTGCTTAATCAAGCGAACATCTAATCAAGCCAGCACAAATTCCCGGAAGACCTAAGATATATACAGGCCAAACAATATCAAATAAGCACACGCTAAAGTCGAATGAATTATTTATTTGGTTGCACATCATTAAAGGAATACGCCCACAATGCTTTGCTTGATTTGCTAGTGTGTATATTTACACAGAAGCCTTTTCAGCCACTGCGAGGCTGTAGTTAGATAATTATTGGAAGGTAATTCACAAAGAGAACACTTATGAGCCTCATTTAAGAGTGATGGCTACATTTTGCAAGGCATTGTGGGTTTAAATCTCGCCAGTGCGGGAGAGTAGGCCAAACACAACTTAGAGGGGCTTTTCAGAACTCCCTCTAGTCGAGGTCCTCCTGCCAGCGATGTCACGAGACATTGCTGGTCTAGGTCTGCACCTTTACTCTTACGCATTGTGGGTTAATTTCTCACGTTGCTGTGCAGCCTTGGTATATGCCACCTTGACATCGTTCGGTTAATCTAATTGAACGGTTGCTTCATAAGACATGCCCTGTTTGTCCCCTGCTAATTCGCCAAATCTAATTGTGTCCCACCTGAGCGCGACGCTGCGGATATTTATTTATATATTTGCGTAACGTGCACGCAGTCCCATGCAGACCACGCAGTACAATTGCAATGCAGGCCACCAGGTCTTGAGTCGGCCGCTGAGCGGAAGCCTCACGTCTTGGGTGCAATGGTCGATGCACATTCACCTTGCGTGTCCATGGGGCTGAATGATGACAGCAGCTTCAGTTTCTTCAGAGGAAAGGCAACTTTAATGCGGAACAAAACCAGGCTGTCCCGCTGTTCTCAGCTCAACAGGAGCTGTTGGTCAGCACATTCTAATTAACTGTTTTGCCACACGCGTGCATGCTTAGTCGTGATTTTCATCTCAGAAAGGCAGGGCAAGGTGTGTGCTCTTGTGTATAATTAAGGGACATTTAAAAAAAAAGGAACTGGATTCTCGGCTCTTAGCGTATGTCACGCATCCCAAGCAAGGGCATCCGTCCAGTCTCTCTTGGGTAAATACGTTATGATAGGCACATTAATCGGTATAAATGCGTGTATCTATTTACTTACAAGTAATTATTTCACCAATCAGCCCATAGTGGTGTTTGTAATCAATAATATTGCAAGGTCAAATTCTGGTCAGGGGACGACTTAGCCCGTCATCATTCTGGGGTTCACGAAATGAGTACCATTTTGTGGGAAGTCTAACAAGGGTCATATTCTGGACAAACTGGTCCCACCGTAGCAATGTGGAATCTGTCATAACTGGCTCGGGTTTTTTCTTGGAGTTGGGCACTTCCAAATAGTTATTTGAGCCATGAGACGCCAATTTAATTACTTCATAATATACATACCTAATAAGTATTATGTTAAGCATACATTATGCAAACAAGGTGACTGGTTAACTAATATTTGATAAAATGTCAACCAGCAAATGACTGGCACATTCGGTCAAAAACGCCTTGAGAATCCAGGTTCTTGGTTTTCATGCCTTTGTGTAACATTGCTTCATGTGCTTCATAATCGGTGTGCACATAGTACTGCGCATTGCACGGAATGTATTCACAGTGATGTGTTTTTTTTCTTCATTTAACCATATTCACATGCCCGTATAGATGCTGGCTTTGCTGAACGTGTGTACACTGTTTAAAGTTCGCGAGGTATCAGATTAAAGCAGTCAAAACTTCGACTTTGACCAGGGTGACTTTTAGTTCAGAGTAAGTGAAAGGCAGTAAAATGGAATGTTGCATTTCATTCGTCAACAGAGGTGTGTGTGTGTGTTTGATTATATTTTATTAAATATATATAGTTGGCAGAATTTTGTGTTTTTCATAGTCTTGAAGATGTGTTGTCTGGGCAGTACTTCTTGTTTTGGCTTCAGGGTAAGTGCAAGATAGTGATACTACGCTATGTAATTTACCTATCATTTGTTACCATATTTAGTATGTGCATGATATGTAAATTAATCATTCAGTCCAACCACTCTATAGTAGTTCTTGCAGTTCATTTCTGTAAAGCACCGTCCGTTATAAAAGTTGACGGTCAAATCTCCGTGACATTGTTTTGTATTTACGCGTGTCTGTGTATATCAACAATATAATTTGTGTGCGTACGTCATTTTATGCGAGTAGTTAGTCTTTGTGTGCATCCGCGTGTGTTTCTGCATTTGTGTCTTTGCATGTGTGTATTAATTTTTGGTGTACGGGTGTGTGCCTTTGTATGTCCTTGTGCATGTGTGTCTTTCCCTGTGTGTGTGTGCGTGCGCACGCGTTAATCCGTGTGCGTCAGACCGCCCGGATTCACCCATGGACTTGGAGCTGACAAACCGACAAGACCTGAGCGTGCGTCTCACCTGGAATCCTGGCTCCGAGAACAATGACCCCATCAAAGGTCTCTCTCTATTCTTACCCTCGCCGCTCAAGAGCCCAGCGTACAGGACGAGCAGTCTTGTTTTCTTGTCAATGGTTTCAATTGTTCCATTTTTCAGAGAGTCCTTGTCCATGCAGATTCACGAATGAATAATGTTGCTGGCGCACACTAAAGGGGCGGGGGGGGGTTTCCATTGTTCGCGTTTCCTCCTCTAATTGTACGTTAGGAGGATTTGCCCTTATATCCTGAGCTTAAATCGCAATGTGCTCCAATGCGCCTGTTAAAGTATATGAAGTAAGGCCAAAACACGGGTAAATGAGACAAAAACAAACTAAAAAAGACAAAAACTAATTAGGAAAGCCCAGGGTAATGCTCTGAATTGAATGACAGTAATTAATGCACATTGGGACGGTGCGTGCATGGGTCTTGAGTGCACGCGTGTGTGTGGAGCGGTGGTGCATTGGTCAGTGAGCGCACTGCGTGATGATCCCAGCAAGCTGGCTTCCATTCTTGGCTATAGATGAAAACCTGTTCTGGGCCTCCCTTTGATAAACTCAGCTTAAAATTAATACCTGGTACAGTGTGCGAACATCAGCACTGGGGAATAAAACACAATGGCAGCCAGACATGGTTCTGGCCACACCACCCTCCTGTTGTGCATCGTGTGGTTCTTCATAGGCGCTCGCTAACAGCCGTCTGTTAAAGGCTATACGGGGGGCGGCATCTCTGTCACACATGCATGCTTGTTCCTACATGTGTAAACACGCGCCAATCTGCGTACGCATACACGTTAGCGTTTTTTAGCGCGGGCGTTCGAGTGGGCAAGTCCCGTCCACGTGCGCGTGTTTACGCTCGCGCGTTCGGACGTGCGTGCGCGCATGCAGAGTTCGTGGTGGAGTACGAGGAGGACTGGTTCGAGCCGGGCGTGTGGCACAGGCTCAGCTCGTTCCCAGGCTCCCGCAACTCGGTGCTGCTCGACTCGCTGTCGCCCTACGTCAGCTACCGCTTCCGCGTCATCGCCGTCAACTCGGTGGGCCCGAGCGAGCCCAGCTTCCCGACGGAGCGCTGCCTCACCGTTTCCGCGAGTGAGCAGAGCACGGGGGCACCACCACCCACCACCCACCGTCCACTCTCCACTCTCCGCCACTGCTTTTCACCGAGGAGGTAGCAGCAAGCGAGGCTGCCCTTAGGGGTGGCCCGGTAGCTAGGGAGGTTATTCCAAGTTCCTGATCAACTTGGTGTATGTTTAGTTGATAGCCACCATTGTGGTGGTCGTGGAGATTATTTGACCATAGTTCACCATACGAGTCGGTGCGGGTTCGTCAAGGTGGGTGGGCCCAGTACCTCGTTCATTATCACACTCCGCTGATATTAGTCGTGGCTGGGAACCGAACTCAGACCGTTGGGATCAGGTGCCACAGCTCCCCCAGGAATACATGTAATAAAGACAAATAGTGCAAATGTAACGTTCTTCGGTTACAGAATGCAAGACAAGATGCAGGCGAATTGGTCACGTTAAAACAAATCAAATAAACCTGATGTAAAAGCACATTTAGACGAAGTTTAAACATTACGTGGAGGAGGCTGGCAATTTTCATGGCAGGATAAGGTAAGTAACTTTGGAAGTTTGGAAGAGAATATGGCAATAAAGTTTTATAGATGCAGTCAGAGAGAGGAGTTTGTGATTGGTTGGACACCTGTGCAGCATGGAGGGGAGCAGGTTAATAGGACGGGAGATGTAGTGGCACCTAGAGGCCAGTAACAAAATGCAAACCCTAAAGCAAGATGTGGGTAATGAAACTATAATAGGCCAAGTGTCAGCGTTGCAACAATGATGGGATCTATTGGGACAACCATGTGTAATACCATTAATGGTATTGGAAATAACCTCTTGACCTTGACCAAATTATATGAGTGATACTAAATCAGCAAGCATCACAATTTGATGATTTTTAACATTTTGGAGTCACAATATATTATTATTATTTTGCATTACAGTGCATGTAGAATTAGCGGTGGCTGTACTATTTCCATGACCCAAACACATTAGAATTAGAAATACTCGACTGTCACGATAATTTTAATTGGCGATTTAATGCATTGGTGCAGCCCTCTAATCATTACCATGCTCTCGACTTGCGGTTCATGGAGGAGGGAGCCCAATGCCACCACCTTCTCAGCAAAATCTCTGGATGGACAATAACTGCTGCATTACCAGTGATGCTCACATTTGGAAGGATAAAAAAAAATACTTTCAAAGGCAGATTGTCTCAGTGTTGTTAAAGTTGCTGTTATTGTTTTATCAGTTTTAGGATTCAGGCAGAAACCAACATTTTCCCCGTTACAATTCGCGGGTGAACAGACTTGGGGGCAGTGCTGTGTGTGCGTGCGTGCGTGCGTGCGTGCTGTGTGTGCGTGCTGTGTGTGCGTGCTGTGTGTGCGTGCGTGCGTGCTGTGTGTGCGTGCTGTGTGTGCGTGCTGTGCGTGCGTGCGTGCGTGCTGTGTGTGCGTGCTGTGTGTGCGTGCTGTGTGTGCGTGCGTGCGTGCTGTGTGTGCGTGCTGTGTGTGCGTGCTGTGCGTGCGTGCGTGCTGTGTGTGCGTGCTGTGTGTGCGTGCTGTGTGTGCGTGCGTGCGTGCTGTGTGTGCGTGCTGTGTGTGCGTGCTGTGCGTGCGTGCGTGCTGTGTGTGTGTGCGTGCGTGCGTGCGTGCGTGCTGTGTGTGTGTGCGTGCGTGCGTGCGTGCTGTGTGTGCGTGCTGTGTGTGTGCGTGCGTGCTGTGTGTGCGTGCTGTGTGTGCGTGCTGTGCGTGCGTGCGTGCTGTGTGTGTGTGTGTGCGTGCGTGCGTGCGTGCGTGCGTGCGCGGTGACCCGGCTGAACTTTGGTATTTCTAAAGGCAACATGCGTGATCCATGTGACGATGCCACCTTTATTTTTGTTTCCCTGAACTCTAAACCACCTGGTCCTGTTGCGTCTAATCACGTCAACAAGACTGCATTGTAAACAACTTAAAGTATTTCTTAGCATTACCCACAAAACAAAGATGTAGACACGCACACACGCAAACACACACGCACACAATAGGGATAAACATTGCGCTTTCGTCACGTTTTATTCTTTTGCAGGTCCTCAAATAAATCCATCGGGTGTGAAAGGGGAAGGAACCAATCCCACGAACATGATCATTTCCTGGACGGTGAGCAAACATGACGTTGGTGCCCAAACTGTGCAAGACACAATGGGCATTCACGTCTGAATGTGTCCGCAAATACAGCCACACACCTTAACCCACCTGCAATGAGTTTGCCCTAGTCCTTGCATCTATGTAAAAGGCCTCAGACAATGCCATGTGCGAGAGAGGAAACGTACAGACCGCTTATTGTACTTTTAATAGATTTGTTCTTGAAGTCAGAAGTCAAAGTGTCTGTCAATTCTCAAACGAGCATTGAACTGGGCCAGCGCTCTTTTGGCTGCCCCTAAGCCAGGGCTGGACATGTCACATTCCAAAGCTAAAGGGCCAGTCTCTTTGTAAGACAACGACTGCTGGTTTTAAACAAAATTATAGAAGTTTTATAGGCCCTCCCTGTGGGATGGTGAATCCATGATCAGGAATTGAACAAGCCCTTCAATTGTGAGTCATACATTTTGTCATAGGGCCAGCTGTCTGGATGCTCAATTAAAATTATCTGTTTTAATTGCCTGAAGAACATTTATTTCTGCTTTGTATTCTTTTATTGGGAATAAAATGGTTGTAAAACTGTTACAAATAGGTACATATTTTGTATCAATCTTAGATGGTTGATGATCGGCTGTCATTCATTCCGGCATTTTTTTTGCATAAAAAAAATCTGTGACTTCCCCCCTCAAATGAATGTGAGGAGGCTCTCACCTTTTGTTCATAGCACTAAGTATGTGGTGAAAATTTCACATTCCTGCGGAGTGGTCCAGTCTCCTCATGGAGGGCCATTTCATTTTTTTAATTTCCATAAAGTTGCAAGTGATGAATCAACCTCTGCCCAGGATTTTGGACTCTCAACCCTCCGATTGCGAGTCATGCTGCCAGACCACTGTACCGCCTGTCCCGGAACAAATCTGTTCTTTACCCTAATTTCACTTGCAGTGGTATTTTAATATACAAGTGCAGTAATCACCCTATATATGCGTTTATGTATCTGTAGATTATTTTCCTATGCATAGTTTTTAATAGTAATGTTTCCAAACAAACTCCTGTTACTGGAAATATTCATTAGGTCTGTGCACTGTTTTTCATTTCTACTGGTAAGGCTGTTGTTGTGGTATAAATTTTATTTGTTTGTGTTTTGCTTTGATTTCTATGTCCTTACATGCTGTACATTGTTTTTTACACTTTTGCTTTTGTCATGTCGGTGACCCAGGTCACGCGCACAAATGAGACTCATCCTGGCCTCTCGAGCCCTCACCCGGTCAAACGAACTTAAACCCTGAAGCACAGCGAGAGGCGTGTTCCCCGTCAATTTACGCGTTCCCCGATCTCTCGCGCACGCAGCCCATGCGAGGAGTGGACCAGAACGGCCCAGGCTTCGGCTACCGCGTGTCGTGGCGTCTCCAGTCGAGCGGCGACGCGGAGTGGACGACGGAGACGGTGCTCAACCGCTCCCACGTGCTCGTGTCGGGCACGCCCACCTTCTCGCCGTACGAGATCCGCGTGCGCGCCGTCAACAACATTGGCCTGGGACCCGAGCCCGACGTCGTTATTGGATATTCTGGGGAGGACGGTGAGGATGGAGCGTAAACCATCATCGCGGGACCTTTGGTTTTCCTTGCGGCAGCGGCGGATTTAGGCTAGCCGTTGAACAAGGACGGTCACCGCACCGCACGCTTTCAGACGGCAGTCCGGAACACGTGACCACTGAAGACCTCCCACAAAGGGGGGGGGCGGTCCTTTATTATTGGAGTAAAACCCAGACCAGGAATTAAATTCACAACCTTGTCAGTCCAAATCAGATGCTCTAATCACAGGACAACCTGGCCAGATTAACATATTTAATACACAATCAAATTACTGTAACCAAATTAGAACACAGATCAAATTTTGGCCACATTCTTACGGTAAAATGTTTCCAAATTAATTAAGGCGCAATACACTAACTACTGTTTAATCAAAACAGTCTGTATATATAATTTGCCGTGTATATAATTTGCTTCAAAGCGTGTGATGGTTGTTTGGCCAATTAATATGACCTAAACCCAACCAGAAACACTTGGAAACTGTTAGACATGAACTTAACTCATCAACATTCAGCTGCATTGTTGCAATGCCACAGGCTGAAACGTTGCTTTGTCTGTACAACATCATGTCTAATTGTGGTGTGAGCATACAATAACTCATCATTAAGTGCAATCATCATTTATGTTTTGGCGACAACTTCTCTGCGAAACGCAACAAATCACGGTTTGCCATAGCCTGGAGTGTGGTGATGCAAGTGACCCATATATTCATGATCAGTCTGTGCTCTTTACCACCATAGTCACTCTCATTGCTGCCTCGTGAGTATTCCTCTCTCTGCCTTGATCCCTGACATACTGATTTACCTCTGGGATAACAGACAGCCCTTCCACAAATACATTGGCCATGCTGCAGCATGCGAGGCATAGAGGGGTTTTATCCTCGTTAATTAAGTAGTTTTTGTTTTTGCATTTGATTTTGTTGATGACTCTAGTGGCTGCCGATGTCACCAGAAATAATTACATATATCACAATGAAACAAAAAAAATGCCATACTTGCATATACCATGAGAGAATGAATTGAGTTAAGTTAACAAATAAAATCGTCGTTAGAGCTTGACTATGAACAGCTGTGATGGTGTTCAAGGTAAGGACGTCTTAATTGACGTCGTTGCATCTTCTTGCAGTTCCTTTGGAGTCGCCCAAGAACGTGCGTGTGGAGGTGCTGAACAGCACCATCATCAAAGTGACGTGGGAGCCCGTGCCTCTGGAGTCGGTGCGCGGACATATCCTGGGCTACAGGGTACATATACGTGTGTGTGTGTGTGTGCGAGTGTGCTTGTGTTGAGTTGGTGGGGAGTAATAGTGTAGCAGTTAGCGTGCTGCGCTGTAAACCCAGTGGCCCGCGTTCAATTCCCACTCACGGACAACACCAGTGCCGATTATCTGAACCAGTCCTGGGCCACCCCTAGGTCGACTCGGCTTAAAATTAGTGTTTGGTGCGGTGTGTAAACATTGCCACTGGGGAGACGTAGGCTGGAGTCGTGGTGCTAGCCACCCCCCCCCCCCCTCATGTGCCGTGCCAGCCTTCATTACCATTATCCTTACAACAATTAAAAACACGGATCTCAACGTATAACCTCCCAAATACATTCGCAGGATTACACACTCTGATCTGTTCTCTACAAAGTGGCACTCACTTTATTGCCATCTAAACGGATGATAGACTGACTTAATTGCAGAGCCACGTTTTGACCTCGCAACCTTCCCATTGCAAGTCGATCGTCATTGTCGCAGCAGAACCTCCTGCCCGGGACAGCGCATCATAGCTCGCGTGTGATTAACGCGTTCTCGCCAGCGGGAATTATGGGCAAGGAGTGCCTATTGCGGAGGGTGTATGCACTGCACACACACCAGCGTGACTTTAAACAGCGAGAGCCCGGTAGCATGTTCGACAGCTCTGCAGTGTCAGGATTGACCCCGCCGTCCTGCCGTCCTGCTGTCGTGCACGCTCCTGAATGTCGTGCGCAGGCTGACTGACCGACAGCCACTGACGCAGTCCTTTCCAAGGACTTGCATTGAAATTCTTGATATTGCGTCCGTGCCCCTTTGCTTGATGGTGAGCAGCAAAGTCGCTGTCAAGGGCGTGTGGGCATATGTGGGGATTGGTGGCACGGTGTGTGTGCATGCGTGGGGAACAGTAGCGCTGATGTTTGTGCTCTGTGCTCGGAACTCGGTGACCTGAAAGAGATTCCCAGCCATGGCGTAATATGAGTAGCGTATGGTATCAGAACTTGTCCTGGACCTCGCTAAGCTGACTTAACCTTAAAATTAGTATCGGGTCCAGTGTGAGCAAAAGTCAGCCGGTCTTGATGCAGGCCACACAAATACTACGCCCTCGTGTGCAAAGCCAACCTTATAATGTACTCATGAACAGAACATGCCCCCAACACTCTGTTAAAAAAATATTTTACAGGGAATTTTTGTCGGGAAAGATTCCTGAATATATACACAAGTCCATTATCAACCAGTATGAACTTCAGGGATTCATCTTCTTGTTTTTTTCGGTAAAGTCACGTAGAAGGGACGGATGCTTGTGTTGTGGCCGAAGCGTCGTGATAATTTTTATTTTATAATGTTTTATTTTTATTATTTTATTTCCCTTCTACGTGACTTTACGAGTATGAACGTGTTCTCTGCCTCCCCAAGGCTGATTCAGCCTTTGCATGAGCACCTGCGCTAGGACGCGTTGTCACCATCAACAATGGTGATGCAAAGGCAGCTGGGCAAGCATGGTGTTTGGCCATAGCCATCCCATAATTTATAGAGTTGACTTTCATAAGTGCTCACCAACATCCTACATCAGTGCACACATAATACACCTCTGTGACGGTACGTTAAATGTGTTCTCTTAAGGTGTTTTAAGAACAGCTCACCGTGCAGTGCTATTATTTGATTGCGCTACTCACAATTGGAAGAGTGATCAAAAATCGAATCAATCTCTGGGGTCAACTCCACCTATCAATATACCTGAGGTCACTACCAACTTTTGGAAATATCAGCAGTGCTGGCCCCCTTCTATAGGAAAGTGGACATTTTCAATACCAATAAAAAAAATCGATGCTGCACGTTTGGCTTACACTTATCACACAAACTCGGATCATCCTCCCAGTGGTTTTGGCGAGCCATCGAACAGAGATGGTGACCGTATCGCACGCTTTCAGATGTGCTTCTGCACCATCTGGAATGCTCTTCTTTACAAAATTGGGGAGCCACTGGAGCTATGTCCTTTCAAATCATCTAAACTGAAAACTAATTTCTTTAGAACTGTGTTTGTGTTTAGTTTATTGTCCTTCCCCCGCAACTCCGAATAGCACGGTTGGCTACATACCGTGCGAACACTTGACTTTCTTCCTCACAAATTGAGCCGATTTTTATTTTTCTATTTAAAGCTTTCATGACTGCAGGGATTCATATTCTTGGTTCTTTCGGTAAAGTCACATAGAAGAGAAATAATAAAATAATAAAAATAAAACATCATAAAATTATCACGACGTTTCGGCCACAATGCAAGCAGCCGTCCTCAGGTGAAGAACAGAGCTGTCGGAAAGACAGCGTCCTTCATTAGGACCCTGTCTTCATTATTCCCTTCTACGTGACTTTACCGAAACAACCAAGAAGAAATTGAGCCGAGCCGAGCCCGGTCCCATCATGTGCCCGTGCCATGCAGGTGCACTACTGGCGCGTGCGGGCGCTGGGGGAGCGCAGGCGACGCCGGTCAAACCGGGAGGTGATGGAGTTCCAGCCAGTCCGCACGCACGGCGTGGTGCCAGGCCTGCGCCCCTACAGCCTCTATCAGCTGGAAGTTTGCGTGTTCAACCGCAAGAGCGATGGCCCGGCCAGCACCCGGCAGCAGTTCCACACGCCGGAGGGAGGTGAGCACGAACATACGCCGAACACGCACCCCATGTACGGGCACCGGTGTCGAGGTCAAGGTGAAGGGGTCATCGTGACCGGATACCATTGAATGCCACTTTTACCGCACCACCGCTATCTTCCTTCTCACAGATATCGCAAATGTTATGAAGTTGGCACCAGACCTCCAAAGCACGATCTCACCGACTCGTACAATTTGCCTTTAGATATATCCCCTTTTAGCCACTGACCTCTGGGTACCATTCCAATACCCGTCTCTGTGCCTGCCCGTCTCCCACCCTGCACATGTATCCCACCTATCACAACCTCTTTTCCTGGCTACATCTACGACGCTTTCTTTCCACATTACACTGTGATACTACGAAGTAGCTTTACCAAATCCTACCAGGGAATTTCGATTATTTGCTGCACACTTGATGTGAAACTTTTGTGACTGCTGGAATCCCTACTCTTTGGTTCTTTCGGTAAAGTCACGTAGGTATTAAATAAATCACGATGTTTCGATTGCAACACAAGCAATCATCATAAGGTGGGAAACCCACAGCAAGAAAATTAATTTCTTACCATAGCATCTCTCTCCCACTTCAGCAACAACAACAAAATATTCTTTTATTTCAGAATTTCAATCAATCATTCGATCAATCCACTTGCAGTGAATGCACGAGGTGAGTGGATGTATGTACGTATGTTGAACTTCTTTCGCACCGTACGTAGCCAACCGTGCTAATCGAAGGACGTGGGAGAAAGCCGTGAATTTCAGGGCAGCCGTATTAGATTGGAGTGGAGATGGGGGCAGTGGGGGTGGGAGTAGGGGCAGTGTGGGAGAAGTGAGAGCTGCATTTCAGACGCACTGGGGCAGAACTGCAGCAGGTGGTCCTGTCTCATTGATAAAAGCAGTGGTAGTGATGAATGGGCTGCCTCTTTTACCTATTGTATCGCTCTGGGTGCACTGACCAGGGATGGGGGGGGGGCGAGATATAAAGAGAAAAGAGAGTCGAGAAACACACAAAATCTCACGGAAGATTTTTGTAACCAGCAAATGCACTCACCCGCTCCCTTGCTCACTCACTCATTAATTCACACGTCCGTTCAATCGCTCGTTCATTCACAGCGCAGTTCCATCGGTTGCATGCAGCCACCGTCGCTGCACGCAGTGTGCTTCTCCTGCTGCTCCATTAGTCGCGAGAAGACCTTGAGCGCGATTCATATTGACATCGCCTTGGTAACGGGGGCTGTATTACCTCACCTCGCTGTGTTCTTCACTGCCCCTGCGCCTCGACTGTATGCGAAGGCACGGTGGCGTGTCACATGTGCAGTCTGCCTGCCATCTGCGGACAGGCCCGAGCCTATGCAGCATTCAAAGCCAGCGGACAAAGTGTTTTACCCGCGTAAGGTGGCTGGTTGGTTGATGGCTCATAATGGCCGTGTTAAATGCTGAGAAAATTAAGCCGGCACTGCTGGGAAACTGAATTCAAAATCTGGGCGCACACCCAGTCAACACGTTCGTCAATAACACTGCGTTAAGAGGAAAAGTACATAATTGGTGACGTTTGTGGCAAATTAGTTTTCGTTTTTTTTATGTATTGTGCTTGTGCACCACTGCCAATGTAGCATCACCAAATAATTTACCATTGAAGAGAATCTCAAAGGTCTTGCGATGGTGGTCTCAGCCCAGTGATTAATCGTTGCAGAAAATAGCATGACATAAAATGTGTTTTTTTTACAGTGTCTCTTGGTAGATAGCTTAAATGCTGCACCGTGTTAGCTTGGTCAAGTGAAAGCTAACAGTGTCTAGTTAAAATGACCCATCGCAAATTGCTCACGTATACGCTGGACATGAATAACAAACCACCTGCTGGTCGAGAACGTCTACATCTTTGGGGTGCGCTGATACTCTTGCTCATGGGTACATATTTTGCATTGCACTGGGAGAGCAAGAATGATGACTTTTTTTTAGGACAATATTTGACAATCTGGCCAGAAGTGGCTGCAGCAGAGCTCCCTGGCTCGCGATGGGAAGTTTGCAAGTTTAAATCTCTATTAGCTGCCTTAGACAATCATCCAGAAGTTAACCGTAGTCATCCTTTGAATATACTGGCTCTTTCATTGGAATGTGGAATTTACATCATCCCTTGCTTTGGGCCACCAATGGAGAAGAGCACCACCCTGTGGCTCGATTGAAGAGGGAGAAACGTTTAATTACAGTTCAGTATCCCCTCGTTATTCGCAGGGGATGCGTTCCAGAGATGCTCGTGAAATAAACATTTTGCTGATAATGATATTGTCCCATGAAACCCTATCTTTTCAATGAATTACCTTAAATAAATGTGTAAATAAGCTATTAAAACATTAAAATTATCTCATCACTTCGTCTCATCACGTTATCTTATCACTTTATCTCATCACATTATCATCACATGCATCTCTGTTCGTGCCCCTGGCTTTCTGGTGGAGTTTCAACATCACCATGGCGGGACAAGTCCACGCATAAAGTCAACAGCAACAGCCACTGACTTCCTACAAAGTGTAAATCATTTTTAAATCCTTTATATTAAGTTCGCTTGCGTGCTTGCTTGCTTGCTTACGACCGTGCAAACCTTTCGGTCGTTTTTTAACCCACTTCCCGTGATCCAATCGAGCTGACATTTTGCACACAGACTCGTTGTGCGAGACAATTAATGTTCGTGAAAAAAAATTTCCAAAATTTTACACTGTTTAGGGAAAACAAATGAAGTATTTAATTACCAATTGTTCAATACTGCAGACAATCATCTGACCCATAGGTGGCAGCCATCTCAAGCCAGAGGACGAGAGGACTCTAGCCGCCACGCATATAAAGGATTTAGAGTGAAAAACTTTGTTTTTACGGGTTAATTTTTACTGACACTGGAAGCATAATGAGCTCGGCGAATTCCCTGATCAGGGTTTGAACTTGTGAGCCAAGTTTCTTTAATCAAAGCCACGACTTGAGCGGATTGTTTTTTCATGGGACTGGCTCCTTCCATGGGAATGGGGAATATTGGCCGCTGGGCTCAGAGAAAGTCAATGGGGATGAATTTACCACATTGCTCCAATCTCTCTGTGAATTGTCTTCATTCGCACTTCTACCATCACAGTGTCTCAATTCTCTCGCCGGCATGCTGAATTGTACCCCTCATTTGCTTGTCTCACGACAAATGTATGAAGGTGTATAAAAAGGCCCATTTCTTCAAACTCTGCAGATGGGAATGTTTTTCCCTTATTTGTATATCATTTTGAGATGCAGTCAAACATTTTTATTCTTTGCAAACACACTTGGTGTTGCAGTTTAAGGTAAGAAGGCAGTGTTCCTTTACCGTTACAAAATGCCGAACAAATGCGCGTTTTTTTGGGAAAATTAATTGCCTACATTTAAACATTGTCTCTACCTAAGTGAATGCCGTTGTATGCAAGTCAAACAAAGGGTGAACGTCACTTGGGTTCGTCACGGCTGCAGAGACACTGAAGGACGCTGTTGTGTCTCTTCATTTATCACCACACATGGCACAGTTCATCATCTAACGTATGCCTCACTTGCAATGTTAATGAGCAATGCATTACCTCCAAGGCTTTGTCTTAAAAATCAATGACTGCATAGTACCAATACACTTTTCCGCAGCCAATTACTATAGAGCGCTTCAATCTAGCACTTCAATATCTTTGCCCGCAGACTTAATTTTCAAAATGAAATTTCACACATTTTTCGGGAGCGTTAAGTCAAGAGCCCAAAGACATATTGCGAAATGGAAGAGCACTTTGCATTCAATAAAATGAATACAATATTACATGAAGATAATAGCAATAATAATAACAATTACCATCTCGTTTACATAACCAGGAATGCCTTCCTGAGTGTTAGGACTTTTGAGTAGGGTCTTGCATAGGGATTTTTGACCAATTTCTGTTAAAGATCACGTGTTTGACATGCGGGGGAAGGACAACAAACGAAACGCATAAAGGAGTTCCAATTAAATTAGTTTTCAATTTAGATTTCGAAGTGTATAGTTCGAGTGGCTTCCTCATATTGGAAGGAAGAGCGTTCCAGATAGCCGCAGAAGCAGATCTGAAAACGTGCGATGTAGTAACCGTCTTTGTTAACCAAAAGCCACTATGAGGATGACCAGAGTTCACGTGATGGTTTATGCTCTTTGACGAGATCAGCAAGGTATTGTGGTTCATTTGTGGCAAGCACTTTGTGTGCAATGAGTGCAACCTTATAGTGTATTCGTTCAGCATCTGGAAGCCGATGCGGCTCGGCGAACACCACACAGACACGGTCGGATCTTGCATGGAAACCCATGCAGAGCGGGGGTAGAATATATAAACTCTAAACAAAAAAGGTGCCCGAGTTGGAAATCAAACCTCGGGCCTTCTTGCCCCGCGGCATTGAGTGTTGCCTACCACTGCACGACACTCAAGTGAACTGACCAGACAGGTTTAAAAAGCTACTTCCTGTGCTTCTATCTCCTGTGAAACGTATAACCTCGTAAGTTTGGCAGTTTCACAATTCAAGTAGTCCTCTGGATAAAATAGCCTCCACCATGGGAATGTTGTGAATTCCACCACTAGCTGAAGACCACCGGCGAAGGTGACCACTTCCAATTGTCTCAGCTCAGGAACAGACTGCAACACACGGTGACAGGAGCTTACTGTGACATTTAGGAGTTTATTCTGCTGGCATGCACAGTACAAGCGCTAGAGCAGAATAATTGGTCAGTTGCTAGGCTTGTGCATTTAGCTTCAACTTTACGTCGATTTCCAACTAAACGAAATGACCCCACTATCTCTTGCCGTTGTCATCCCTGGAATTTATTTACACCGAGACCATTTGTCTCCGTTTTAGCCCTGTGCCCATGGCGTTTTGGCACGTGTGTTGCTTGCGGCTGGCAGCTGCAAATGAAATAATGAATAAAGAAGAAAGTTTGTGAAATTATTGTAAACAGCACTTGTATTTGGCTCGGCAGCCTGTGGCTTTGTAATGCTCAGCACAAAGTGGATGCACTTGCCTAATTATCGTAGAAAAAAAACTCGCGTGCGTCACATCTGCTGTCAGTTTGGATGCAACAAGTTAAGAAAGAGGTCTTAATTTAACAGACGAGGGTCCGTCTCACCACCCGAAAAATAAAATAACACTTGTCATCCCTCAGGTTATGGGCCTGTGACAGACCTCCATGTTTCAGCAGCCTTTGCCTTTAGCAGGACAACTCTGGACCGGTTTTGACTTTCAGGGTTTACTCAGTGATTTAATGTACTTATTTTGTGACACTGTGTATACAGTGGTGCATTTGCACAAATAATAAAAACTCTACACATTAGGCACACTCTCCTAAAAGGAATATATGTATAATATAAAAGTATGTGACCTGTTGGGCATTGGCATTCTTTCATATGGCATGTGCAATCAAGAAGAACCTTTGCCAAAAACTTTGTATTTTTATATAAATATAATTATCCTTTTTAGGGCAGTGTGATTGACAAATAGGATGATTATTTGTTATCCATAGATCCAAGCTAGTCAGAGCTCTCACATAAAAATATCAAGGTCATAAGTTGAAATCACTATCAGGGATTGATTCTGCTATCATCCCTCAAGGGTCACTCAAATAATCACATAATTAACACGTTGTGATAATATTGGTTGGGTTGCTATTGTCAGAATTGAAGCGACCACCTATACAATAACTAGCACATCCCTTGCTTAATTAAAACCATATGTGGTGTTGTTAAGACAAGATGAGGCTTTTCAAGTGGATGCTATATGTTTTGGACCTCGTGAATTCCGTGAATGGGTGTTAACATTTTGACTTAATTTAAATGTAACAATAACCATTTTCTCATCAATTACAACTCCATAAAGGCGATGCTAAAATCGAATGAATGAAATTTGTTTTGTTTTATTGTATCACATAAACAGCAACATTTTAACCGATGAAAAAAATAATGAAAAAGTATTAATACTTGATGATGAAAAAGTATTAATACTTGATGAAAAAGTCCTTTTTTAATACGAATGTAAAAGGTTTTGTATTAAATACCATATTTTTGGAAAGCACACCAGGCCTTAAAAAAGGTCCCTTCATGCTGCTATTAAAATAGAAGCATGCGGGGTCCTAATGCAAGGAAAAATGTAAATTACGGTAAAATCCAATATCACTTCTTCAACTGAATTCTTATTAAACAACTAAAGAGTCAATTAAACCCAACTTTAATATGTGCCATTCCACATATCTTGCATGAAGCCTATTTGAAAGGTGTTCTCTCCTAGGAAATGTAATTTAAAGTAAATTTCCAGTCAAATGCGACTGCATAAAAGGCATGCAGTGTGGTTGCTCTTTTCGATTAAGGTTCTTTCGCCCAAGGGCAGGTCCATGGCTCAAGCAGCCTCCAAACCCGTGCGATTCCAATCTGGGTGCTGAGCCGTTGTGAGGGAATAAAGTTGAGGTTGTTTCCCATTGCTTTCCTCAACAGTGGGTTTTTTAAATCCTTTATATTAAGTTCGCTGCTGCTTGCTTGCTTGCTTGCTTACGACCGTGCAAATCTTTCGGTCGTTTTTTAACCCACTTCCCGTGATCCAATCGAGCTGACATTTTGCACACAGACTCGTTGTGCGAGACAATTAATGTACGTGAAATTTTTTTTCAAAAATTTTACACTGTTTAGGGAAAACAAATTAAATATTTAATTACCAATTGCTTAATACTGGCAGACAATCATCTGACCCATAGGTGGCAGCCATCTCAAGCCAGAGGACGAGAGGACTCTAGCCGCCACGCATATAAAGGATTTATAGTGAAAAACTTTGTTTTTACGGGTTATACTTATTTTCAGGTGACTTCCTACACAGTCTAATGTCACACTCAGGAATTTCACAATGTTTTATTGTTTCGTTTAACTCGTGTGCCTGTGTGTGTGTGTGTGCCCCGTATGCTCACAGTGCCCAGCCAGCCTGAGAATTTGCGCCTCTACAGACCATCGCAGACTTCGCTCAAGATCGATTGGGATCACCCGGAGCTTATCAACGGCCGGCTCACAGGCTACTCCTTACAGTACCAGACAAGTAAGGTCCCCCTTCTTCACTTCTTAATGTAGTCCATGAGCCCAGACCAGATATTTCACCGCTCGGGATCACCTAAAGTGGCTTCACATTTGTCGTTCGAATTTCACGATTTTGCCAAGAACAGTGCGTTACGGGATTACCATTACTGGGTTGTCACATAATTCACCGTTAGCAGCCATGCAATTGAATGGCTACAATAGATGGTACCAATAACCTATGGTGGTGCTAAAATCCCGTCTGGCAACATAGACTTGCTCTGTTAGCCTTTGCCACTGTTGCTTTTTGTCAAAGTGCAACGTCGCAGCGTCTCCCTGTGCGGCGCGAATGTCTACCTGCAGCCTGTGGTGTCGATTCCACATTTATACAGCAGTGGGCCAGCCATTATTGACCTCCCACAAAGTGGTAATCGTTTTATCAGCCCAAGAGGACTGAGGACTGAGTCTCCACTTGGGGTCTGAGCTCGCGGCCTTTCGAACGTCAGTCGGTTAGTCACGGAAATCGCCAAGGCACCCATGTGTGCTTTTTTACGTACGCATTTTTATGAATAAAATCTAATTTACAAACTACACACACACACACATCTACAATATTGCTGTCTTCCTGCTTAAATGAGCAGTGGGGTGGTGGTACTTGTCTTTTGGTGCCCTGAGCCAGTGGTGGACATTCCACATTCTTATGGCAGGGACCAATTTCCTTCAAAGGGATAACCAGTACCAGTGTCTACGGCCCATTGTACCAATACCGTGATGGCTGTGGAGTTGTGGAGTTGTAGCATAGCTGCTGGTTCACTTATTTGGGGAGTATCCGGTACCTTTTATTTAGTGGCATTGTCCAGTGTTGTGGTTGCATCCAGCAGAGTAAGACAATGGCTGGAGGAAGTGTCATCCCGCTGATAGTGCTTAGACATGTTGAAGCACTGTGATTAATGGTGGAGTGACAGCCGAAAAGGGGAGTCTTTCCTGACAGAACGTCCACCAGGAGGACGGAGTGAATAAATCAGCTTGTGTGTTGGTGCTGTATGGATTGTTACATCACAATACCATGAAGATGGCAACGGTTTGGGGAGCCCTTAATCCGGCAGTGGATAGTTCATGGATGGGGATGATGGTGTATTATTGTTACCTTGTTTACCCAAGAAAGCCTCATTGAATCTCAAGACTCTTTTTCACGAGCGTCCTGCTAAGCTTTCGCAGTGAGGGGCAATGTTGCTGCGACTGTGTGTGATCCCAATTGAGTAATTTGCAGGTATTTTTTCCGCATTGGGATGTTTGGCCAACACAAATTGCATTGTGCGTTTGATTTAGCAATAGGGGGAAACCGGTGAACCTGGAGGCAACCCATGCCGAACAGGGAGGGAGGGGGGACATACAAACACCATGCGAATACAGGCCTCTGTTGCTGTGAGGCACAAGTGTTACCACTACACAAAACCAAAATAAGGGCCAATGTGCACCAATGATAAAACATCTCTGTACAATTTTTTTCAATTCCCTTAATTGGTAACTGCCCACCACCTTCATCTCTACCCCCTACTAAATGATTTCCAAATGTTGTGCTTATAAGTGAGCTACAGTGACATGCAGTATCAGTACATTGTATGGAATACGCCTTTAATGATCAACAGAAGCTGGAAGCTCTTCCTCACATAAAATATAAGATGACAGAATACAATTACGGGCAAACATCGAGACAATATTTAATCACAGCTCCATCTTAGTGTAGCAGCATGATTACAAGGGTGGTGTTCCTGCCAGGGTAAATTTTTAATTTTTTCTTGAATCTGCAGTTGTATGGAGCATACCATGTTTAAACATTGACCACGACGGGGGTGTTTGTACTTTTGATATCCTCACTTGAGAACAGTGGTCAATGTTTAAAGTGCATCTCCCTCAAGAGTGTCTCCCTACTCCAAACGAGCATACATTTCTACGTGACAAGCCACTTCCTTGAGCTATCGTTTGTGGCCAGGTCGCTTCTGAAACAGAGCTATAGAGCTCAGTGGGGCCTTACCTGGTTCAATAACTAACACATTCCTGCGGAGGGAGCTGGTAGGAACGTTGGGTTGCTCGGTCAATGGCCAGGGTCAACGGCGGCGTGGTGTATTCCGCAAATATGCCCGACTTTGAGGGCGGGCACAATCCGCCGTAAGTAGGTTAAATGTTGAGTTTTATAAGGGCACCACGGGGTGACCAGCCCCTCCCCACCCAGCCCCACCCCTCCCACCCCCCACCCAGCCCCACCCTCCCCACCCAGCCCCTCCCCACCCTCCCCTCACCACCCAGCCCCTCCCTCCCCACCCAGCCCCTCCCCACCCTCCCCTCCCCACCCAGCCCCTCCCCACCCTCCCCACCCAGCCCCTCCCCACCCTCCCCTCCCCACCCAGCCCCACCCCTCCCACCCCCCACCCAGCCCCACCCTCCCCACCCAGCCCCTCCCCACCCTCCCCTCTCCACCCAGTCCTACCCCTTCCATTTTTGTATGCACGACAAACGGACGGACACAATAATCCCCTGTGGGCTGGTGTAACCAGGAGGTTCCTACCAGTAAAAATGTAGCAATGCTTATCTCAGCTGACAAGTCCTGCACATTACTGTGGTAGGAGACAGTCTCTTCATAGTGCAACCACCGTTGACTGTCCACTATTTTTATTGGCCCCAAAGGTATGGGAGGCCGAGTTTAATCCCCAACTGGGATTTAAACTTGCAACCTTATATTTTAATGAGCATCATATCAGACCAATTTGGTCTCGAGGTAATGAGAGAATGTGGTTAATGCTGAATGGATGTTAGGCTGCAAATTAATATTATTTGTGATGGTCTAATTGGATAGTTGTTGCTGCAGTTGAGCACTTTAATGCTGTTAAGCATTTCCATGATAAATTCAGAATCTACTTATGTTCAAGGCCCATTACCTTAACCTAATTATAACTTTGGATAATTTCTGAAGGGATCCCAGCACACGTGCCATTGTATTGCACAGTGTTTTTCAAGCTTGTAAACAATTGATAGAATCGTTAAATTGTCTCAGCCCAGCCACAAATCTCGGCGCACACACAAAACATGTCCCACCTATGAGAATATCAACTTCATTGTCATGCCATGAACATTACTGTCAGTGGCAGTGTGGGTGGGAGAGTATTTTTGTGCGGGTTAGAGGTCGTGTAAAGGAGTTGTAGAGGTAGCTCTTGAATATCTACTTCCTGGGCCATTCTCTGATACAGCTGTGAGAGATTCGAATGGATACTCTACCTCATGGCAAGATCCTGATAGCACAGGCAAAATCAAATTGGGAATGGGGGATCATATTTTTGTTTAAATAAAATTGTTCTTTGTGCTATGCTACAATAGGAAAGCGTCTTTTTTGAAATAAACTTCTCCAAGGAAATACTTTTCTTCAGGATGATGACGAGGATAATGATGTTGTCTTGTAAAAAGCTTGTTTGCTTAAATACGCGTTTATATAACCTGAACATGCGGTGCTGTGGCAGAGAGCCTATTTTGCGTCCGGAATGTTGCAAGTTCAAATCCCAGGCAGGGCTCAACTTAGCCCATTATCCCTCTGGTCCTTATTATTAGGATGTGGAATTTCCAGTATTGGCTCAGGGCTGCCAACAGAGATAAAGCACCATTCAATGATCTTTAGAGATATTGGTTCTTTTACCAAATACTAGCAACCCGCACGTCCATTGCACGTGATCGTCTGTCTGTCCCTCCCAGGCTGCCAGAAAACCTTGTTTTTTTATATAGAGCCCGGTGTTTCTCAACCTTTCTCTTGCCTTCCCCAATGCTGTATATCCCATTGTGTCTTGATTTCTCATTGTGTCTCTGTTCATATATATTTGTCTATTCCTCTATCCTCTCATCTACCTCTTCTCCCTCCACTGTACCTCCCACATCTCTCTACCTCTGTTTCTCACCTCTCACCCTCACTCTTCTGATTCCCTCCTCTTCCTTTCTCGTCTCAATCTCCCTCGCCTCTCCCCAATTCTCTCTCCCAACTGCTTGTCACCTTACCTCGCCCTCCTCTTTCCGTTTTGCTCGCTTTATTTACTCTTCCTTTCGTGCCCTTTCACTTTCTCCCCACCACTCTTTTTTACGATCAGAGGAAACAAGAAGATGCTCGGTGTAGTCGGCACTTTGCTTCGTTCATCATTTTGGTTTTTAATGCTTTACTTTATGTTAACCCCCCCCCCCTATTTTAATGAAAGATTTCACCATAGATTTCACGCTCTGCTCTCCTTACTCCTTCCCTCTCTCTCTACCCCCTCTCTCTACCCCCCCCCCCTCTCTCTCTACCTCCTCTCTCCCTACTCCATGTCTATGTTCCCCCTATGTTTTCTATGTAATATATGTAATATTACTATAATTTTTTTTTACGACAAGTGCTGCATTTGCACCCAGCCCTTCTCGCAGTCCTACGGCCTCCGACGGATAGCTCATATCTGCATGCAGAGCTCTCAGTCTTCTGCCACCTAGCACACGGCCTCCTCCTGTGCCCACTGCTCCCACCCTCTCCTCTCCCTCTCTTCCTCCCTCCTCTATCTCCCTCGCTCACCTCACCCCCCTCCTTTGATCTTATACCACATGGCAGTGTCGCGAGTCACTCGGAGACACTAATAATAGGAGGCACTCTATTTATTATAGTCTTCACAGGTGCAGGGAGTAACCACACTATGGGCAGGACGGTTAACAGGCTGCCTGACCAACAACGCCGAGGAGACTCCTGCAGCACGACGGGTTCCACTACAACCAACAGCCGCGACTCTTGCTCAGGGCCTCCCTTTTATCCACCCAGCGTGGCCTGGCTCTGCCCTCGGCCACGCCCCCCCTTCTAGAACCTACTAGAAGGTTCCTGAGCTTTTCCTCTCGTGGCCCCTCTGTCACCTTTGCCCCACATCCCTTTCTCCGGCCTATCACGTGACCTGCTGGCAGAGAGGGCTGCTACAGCAACAGATCCCCTTCTCTGCCAGCAACCAGCGCTACGTGCCATAGTGACCATAG